TCAGAGATATATAGAGAGGTCTTTGCGCGGGGCTGCGTGCACGCTGGAATTATACAATCGATCCGATGCACTCCGCCTAATTCCGTCTTCGGTCGACGATTCGCAAAAGCGTGTCCACACGCTCGTGTTCTGTCACAGCGTCGTTGCCCGCCCGGACGGAGTTCGTCCGTTGGAGAACAGAACCGATCGGAATCGACCGACAGAACGAACGGGAAAAAGAAACCGCGGCGAACGTCGATGCAATTAGCCGTGTTTCAATACGAAGGACCAATTTACCGAGGTTCGGCGACGCCCTGCCACGACGAGTCTACCAATTAAATTATATCCAGCGTGCGCGCGGCTCGGGGCGAAAGACGCGCGTGGTCCTCGGGGACGTAAAAGGCAAAGATGATCAGGGATCGGGAATCTCGGGATGACCGGGCGAGAGACGGAACAAAACGGATGGGAACGGCCATCCGGAGGAACAAAATAAATGATTCTGATACGATACGACGATAAGGATAAGATATACCTATATACATACATACCGTCGATGCGTAGAAAGTACTGTGTCACATAGGATATATTATTATATTGAGTATACATATACGGAACGGACGCGCGCGTATGTGTGTGTGTGTGTTCGACGTGTGCACGGTTGCACGGGTCGTTTTTGCGTGAGCGTGGACGTGGGTGGATGTTGTCTGGGTGCGTGTGCGAGCGAATGCAGCATTAAACAAGAGGAGATTATCGTAGTGCTCCGTTTAAGGAAAACGTGTGTACTGGGCGCGGTGAAAATTACGTCACGATCGTGCTAGAGAACGTTTTCTACGGAAGAATTCGAAATCGGAGAAACGAAACGAAGGACACCCGTGCGCGGGCTCCTTCGCGCGTCGGCCGGAGACGAGTTTCGGCGCGGGGACCGCGCCGGCAATTAAAAGATAAATCCGCGGCCGAGAATATCGTTCGCCGGCCGAGAAGCGCCGCCCGATTTTTACCAGGATCGACGACGCGTTGACCATCGCCGAGTGTATTGGGTTTCATAAACCGGACGCCGGGCTGGGTCGGGCCTCGTGTGTCATAACACGGTGACACTAGAAAATCACGTCGCCGCGTTTCCTGTGTCACCTGTGCTATTTTCGAGCTGGCCGCACACGCTAGAGTGTGTCCTGCAGTTCGAACTGATTGCATGGCCTATATTTTTTTCCCTCTCGCTCGCGTCGCTCGGCAACAACAAAGTTGGCGAAAATTCGGCGGAACGTTCGTCGCCGTTTACGAGGCAACGTCGACGGTGGTCAACGCGACATCGCGAGAAGGACATTCGCACGGGCCGATTGAAAAATCAAAAGGCAAACGGGGGCTTACCTTCGGGCCAGCGTTAAATTGATCGAATTGCAACAGCGTCTTTGCACGGGGGAACGCGCGGAGTCGTAGCAGTTCTTTAAAAGGATACATACTCTGTTTTTAATTCATTCGTCACTGCGGAAGTGAGCAAATACTATTTTTTTTTTTTTTTGGAACTGCACCAGTAGCGACGCGGCGGCCACATAAATAAGCATTGCTCGGAATGCAAACATTTCTGCGCGTGAAATTATTAAAACGCAGCCGTGCTCGCGGGACATTGAGATTTTAATTCACTCGCGATTGCAGAGACGAGAAAAGACTTTCTTAAAATCTGCTTCAGCGGCTTCGACCGCGCGCGCGCCAAAACGGCGGACACATTAGAAAATCGCGCGCAAGCATTTTCCGCACGCGAAAATTCTCGAACTCTACCACTTTCGAAGTAGAACGTATTTTTAATTTATCGACGAGCGCAACAGGGAGGATGTTGCGCCGAATTTTGGTATTAAATTAGGCGAAGAAAAGAGGCTTTAGCGTCGTTGTTTTTGCTGCACCCGGTACAGCCGAGATGAATAAGTAACGCTATAGATCTAATATAAACGACAATGAACAAGTAGATAGGTCACGCCGATACATGTATGTACCTATAAACGTAAGACGAGAGTACGCACTTTTGTAATAGTAGTTCCGACAGGGAGAGATGATAAAAATAAAAACCGCGGTATATACAATAGCGAATAAAATATAAATATATATATATATTGAGAACAAGATATATATATATTGATAATAATAATAATAATAATGATAAAAAAAAAAGAAGTTGACGCTTGATACACCATAGTTTTCACCGACATATCCTGGTTGAACACATCCTCTTTACGTGCATACCGCATACCTATACATATAGTTATTATTACGAGGTACACGCGACGATAGAGTATTTTATGATTAAACTGATAAATGATTACGGATCATTACGGATTAGTTGTATCGATTACGGTTCTGATTATTATTATTGTCATCACATTACGATCACTAAGGAGTATAGGTACATAGTAACGATGGTACAACTAAGGCAAGTATGTACTGTACATAGCTGTCACCCTATGCCCCATACGACTATACAAATATATATATATATATATATATATATATAAATATATATACATATATATATGTATATATATATATATGAAATGTATGTATATAGTATATACATGTATACACACGCGACACATTAATGTAAAAAAAATTATATATATTTATATATAGACACAAAGCCATTATTCTATCGCAGACCATGAATTATTGTTGTACTATTGTTTATTTTCGATTTACCTATTGTCACTGCGATTATTATTTCGCCGATAATCATTGTAACGTGATCTGACTACCACCCGCGATCGTCGTCGCAACGACACGACTGCGATCGTCGTGTACACGTATAATTTTAATTAACTAGNTATATATATATATATATAAATATATATACATATATATATGTATATATATATATATGAAATGTATGTATATAGTATATACATGTATACACACGCGACACATTAATGTAAAAAAAATTATATATATTTATATATAGACACAAAGCCATTATTCTATCGCAGACCATGAATTATTGTTGTACTATTGTTTATTTTCGATTTACCTATTGTCACTGCGATTATTATTTCGCCGATAATCATTGTAACGTGATCTGACTACCACCCGCGATCGTCGTCGCAACGACACGACTGCGATCGTCGTGTACACGTATAATTTTAATTAACTAGTGTGTGGCGAGACGCGTATTAATTACCGCTGAAAGTAGATCCTCACTATTAGCAGCATATAGAAGGAGGCAAATTCTGTGTACACTTGTTTCCGCAGATTGGACTCTACCTCAACTTTTCTTCGTTCGAAACCCGGGGAAAAAAGAATATCATGCAACAATACATGCGCGATTACGCGTCCTCCAAACACTTTTTTTCCGACCTTCCATTATATCCGCTAAAACGACACGTTGTTCGGTTTTACAAAGTACGCTATTGAACTATACGTTATTACTATTTAAACAACTAGTGAGAGAATCGTTAACGAAGAAACAAACAAGAATAATAAGAAAGAAACAAAAAAAAAATAAGAAAAAGAAACGGAACTGCAGCGACCTCAGCCTGTGATAGTTACAAAGGATATTATTTCGATTAAGAATTTGCTGTATTAGATCTACCGTAGGTCAATGAATCGGCGATAGTTCGAGAAAACGGGAGAGAGAAAGAGCGAGTGTGTGCGCGTATGTGTGTGTTTGTGTGTGTGTGTATGCTTGAAAGAACATGAGAGACGTGTTTCTGTGAAACGATTGGACTTTACTATCGGGGCCGTGGTGCCTAAACGTCGTCGAGCTCATTGAAGATGATCGTTGATCGAAGAAGAGAGAAAGAGAGAAAATGGGTGCACGGCTCGAGACTGCGTTGTATAGTTTGTGGTACTATTGTCGATACGTTAGTAAGATTTAAAAAAGCAAAAGCATACTTCATTTTCTAACGAGCTTCGTTGATTATCGTTGCGAACGCTACGTAGCGCAGTTTGTATATATACGTACATACCTATACGTTGCAACGTAAAACTTTGCTTTTACGGATTTCCACCGTCTGAACACACATGTACATTTATATTTGCGGGCTCCGCTGTTTTCCTTGAGGAGTTTGTGAAGACGCGTCGACAGAGAATCGGGAGAAGAAATACTTTCTTTAAATTGTATGTATTATGTAATTACGCCGCCTGTATACTTGTAATTTTATCTGTAACCGCATGTGATAAGACAACAAAAAAGAAAGAGAGAGATAGCGAGCGAGTGTGCGAGAGAGAAAGAGAGAGAGAACGAGAGCAAGCGAGAGACGTACACACGCAGAGAATGTTTAGCGGATGTGGATAATCGACGCGAAAACGAGTGTCATTTGAGTGCTTTAACAAAATATATTGTATAACGTGTAACAAAACGCTGTACGCTTGTGATCATTAAGGATTTACGTGTCCGTTTATTATTCTACGTAATTTTTCTCTCTTCGTAAATACTAATCCACCTTTTTCTTTCTTTTTTGGTTACATGGCTGGGCGTCATGTAAAAACGGCTCGATAACGTTTCCGTAACGGTATGTTCCTTTTATTAGGCGAGACACGCGAAGATCATTTCTATTAGCTATAATGATTGCCTGTAGGGCTCCTTCGTAATATCTTTCAGTATATTACTGTATTGTGATGTTAACTTAAGCCATGGACCGATATTTGCGGGAGCATGAAAACTCGAGGTCGCTGTAGTGAATTCTATCGCTCAGGTGAGGGATCACTTTCTCAGTTTTTTAGCTTGGCTCGAGGAGCTCCGACGAATGCGAAACGTGGAGATTGTTTAAATAAAGAAACAAAGAACAATGGAAATGTATCCGCATATTATCTTCGAATGGCGAAATGCGACGATTGGGGACTATGTATTGTGATCAGCAAACAGACTACAATGTAGTTTGTTCGTAACTGAATGAACAAACGGAAACACTTGTGTAATAAAGTAGATATCCATTAAAGTCTGTGCTCTTTCAGTTCCCCGATCCTTAAGTTACTCCAAAGAGGCTAATGAGCCTTTCCTGAAAAAGGTAAAATTTCTTGTAAAATAACAGAGAGGCAATAGATCAATTTGTATCGAAATTTATTTCCTATTCCATCTCAACGTCAACAACAGCATCTTCCACAATGATCTGCTCCGACGTCACAGGAACTTGTATCACAGGCAACGGGTCTGGAGATCTGGTGTAAGTATTGCTCGTCAAATGTTCCTTGAAATATTCGCCGCCTTTTTCTTCGTACTCCTTTTTATTTACAAGAAACTCGGGCAAGTTCCCGTTCAGGCCGAAGTCTCTGGCACCGTACCATGCGTCTATATTACTGTTCTTTGCTATGTTTATCTGAAAGTTGGAGCCGAACGGTCTGATCTCGCGAAGCTCGCGGTTCAGTCGTTCCAACAAACCCGGAAATCTAGTTGGCCCGCCAGTGAGAAATATGTTTCCCACGAGGCGTAGCTGTTGCTCAGGTGGGTATAGTTTCAGTACGAATTCGATTGCTTCAGCGATCCCTGCCTCCATCGAGCCTATCATGGACGGCTGGAATAATATTTCTGGGGCTCTCAGACGTTCCACCCCCACGTGCAATTGATGAGTTTCTCCTGGGACCATGGGAACGTTGGAACCGGCACCATCAAACTCCGGATCATGATGTCGTAGCACATCTTCCAATTCCAACAGCTTCTCCTGCTCCAATTCCGAGTCCGAATCTCCACCTTCCTGTAAAATGCAATTTCAATTAACACATGATCATTACCTATTTAGATATAACGGACTTTAAAATATTTACGAACCCGGTTGATCACTTTGTAAACATCCCAATCTTCGTCCCTCATGCCGAAGTCATCATCGCGTTTCTCTTTCCTTGCTAATTGACTTATTATTCGCATCCTTTCCTGGGCTGCTGCCGTTCTACGCTTCGCCATGTCTTGTCTGCGTTGCCTTTTCGCCATCCGTTTCTCCAATATTTCCTGCCTAAAAAGGTGAACTGAATTTTATTACTAGTCTGCGAATTTTGACCAGAAGAATTAACCATTTATTGCAACGGATTCTTTACCGTTTCTTTCTTACGCCGGCAATCCACTCGTCAAAGTCTTGTTGGTCCTTAGGTTGCAAGCTGGATTTTATCTTCGGTTTTTGTTCTTCCATTACTATGTTCTCTTCCTGGGAATTGGCTGCTACTATTTTTTGTCTCGTTCTTTCCACCTTTGCTTGCAGATTATTTATCATTTTGATCAAGTCTGTTTCATTCGCGAGGGAATAAGTCTTCAGAGCTTGATCGAATTCGTCGGTCTCACCTTCTTCTAATAAATCTTGAACGGCTAACAATTGATTTAATTGCTCCTCGTCTTCTGCTAACTGCAAATATTAATTATTATGTTAGATGATGATTATTTAATGATGATCTTTTCCTATGTAACAGATATTACTGACCCTCTCTTCCCTTTTACGCGCATTAATTTCCATTAGTCTTCTAGCTAATTCCCGTTTCCGTTCTTTTTGTTGTTCGACTGTTAAACCAGGAGCATTTGCAGGAGCGACATAGGGCAACTGTACTCTTAACACGTTCGAGTCATAATGATCTGGATCAGCCCACTTAGAAATTTCATCTTGATAGTTAAGAGCTATCATTGAATGTTCGTGTATTAATTCCTGTAAATTGAAGAGTTAAACTTTTGTAGTTAAAAGTAACAGCATGCATGAGGACCACACGATTCATTTACTTCTGCTCTGCTCGGTGTTATAGCATTCACATGCACCGGATATTTCAGTTGGAGCAGTCTGTGCATATAAGATGTAATGTGGTATCCACCAACATTAATTCTCCTTGCATTCAAAGGATCTGCTTTGCCATCTAATATTGGTATTATGTGTGTAGTGTGGTAACCGATACTGATAATTAGTCCGTCTGGTGGACAATTATTATGTTGATAAGAAAATAGGCAGTCCACTCCATACGCAATTGCTGGTACGTTGTAACATTCAAATAGAAGTTCTGCCATCACTAAAAAATTTATCAAGTTAGTAAATGAACATTGATTTTAAGAGAACAACATTCAAATGAATATTTTACATTACAATTTCGAGAATAATTGGGATTTAAGAAGGTTTCTGTTAAGATAATTGGATGATTAATAGTGCCTTCCGTGTCAATTCCCATGTGGGCAAAAGTATAATCAAATATTTGCTCCTGAGCTTCAAAGTGGGTTACTACATTTCTATCGAACTGCGTTTTTAATTGAAAACGAACAGCTTCAATGTTCGCAATATCGTTCCCAACCTGGGGATCCCCATCTTTCTTCCCACGCTCTTTTCTTGGCTTTGCAATCAAATTCTTAAATATCAGCTGAGGCTCTTTCTCGGTTGCCCAGCCCACTCTACAGTTATACGATCCTAATAGAAATTATTTCTTAATTTTCGTTACATAAGATAAGTACTGTATTAATTGCCAGTGAGCTCGTCTACTCACCATTGTCAATAACAAGTGGCGTTCCTTCAGTTTTTACTCTATCCGGATAAGAATGAATTATATCAGGTATAGCTCTTATGTCTTTTAATTCGAGGACCTCCATTTTATTAAACAGTGTTTGCTATTTACTTTACATCTTCGTGTGCAGTACGAAATCCCTTGCTTTACTGGATATAATTTCTACTATGATGTAAACAATGGCAGACGAAAAATAAAGCGGCTAAGAAAAGCTCGTGACAATGACTATGGCAGGATGCCCAACTTATGCGACAGACTTCAGATCCTTGTAGTTGCATTACATATAAGATAACGAAACTTCGCGCAACCGTCACACCATTTATTCTTTACTTTTTCGATATCGGTACATCAAAATATGATTCACACTTAATCTTTCCAAGCTACTAGTTCTTAATTATTCATATTAATTATTGAAATATTTGTAAACTAACTAATAAGTAACTCTCGCCGGTTTAAAATTCGCGCCATTTTTATCCACCTCCAAATAGCGCCATTGAACGTAGTGATAGAACGCTCAAACTATTCGCCATAATCGACTGTTGGTAATTTTGTCTACCAGTTTCAGCGTTTTGCTACTACGTACAATGACGTTATTTGAAGGTAGATAAAAGTGGCGTGAATTTCAAAATTTTTTGCCGAAGATAAAAAACAGGGAGCATTATTTAAATAAGTTTAAACTTAAATCTTACCTCTTTCCCGTTGAAATTGTTTCACTTTTGAGAGCTCAAATGGAATTACAGAAAAATTTTAAATCATGTTAAAGTCAAGATAAATCTCAAGTGTCGCAGGCGGCCCACGGTCTTCGAGGACAAGGACGCTATTGTTCTTCCGGGTCTGAAATAGGGATGACGCGGATGCTCTCTGGAGGAGGACTCAGGAGGAGAACGCGGAAATCAGTCATTCCAAGCAATTACAATTCCGTGCAGAACATATTTTGTATTAAACTTTTTTATCGATCCTTGCGTTTATTAATTGCAAATATGTAGTAAAATATTGGTGACGTGTAAAGTGATCAGTGCAACTTTTGTTTTTCAGTCTATTCTATGCGATCAAGCGATATATGCATATTTTTACTGTTATGTAATTAATGTTCTTACTATTTTAAATTATATCTATACATTATTCTCATTGCAAATGCATAAAATCAGTTTAATAATAATAATATCAGTTCGTGTCATTATTCCAAATCTGCTGATAAGAGACATCGATATATATATATTAAAGAATAGTCAGTGCCGGTTTAAATTAACCTATCGCGGATCAAGTGGTTTATTAAAAAATTAATATTAATTATATGCACATAAGAAATGAACTTTTGTTTATGTACTGCTTACTTAGAAAAGTTTCCCGTAAAAACCTCGGTAATATAGTGGTCAGTATTCCGAAGTGCTGCAGTGAATACGCTAAATATTGATGACAACAGTGCATACAACAGTGTACGTGATTATTAAAAAGTGAGTGCCAGAAGTGTAAAAACCCTAAAAGGGGCACCGCCTACAGAAAAAGAATGTGATAGAAAGTGTTCAGTCACCAGTAAAAAGTGGTTTCACGAAGAACGCAAAAAGAAATGTTATCTTAAATTTAATAACAAACCAGGATTACTCAGAACTAAATAATATAATACTGAATCAGCAAATTAGGAACATTATAAAAGGAAAAAAACAGACAAAAAGGCTGAACTCACCGCCTACGATAATCTCAAGAAAAATAAAAAAAGACAACGTCGTAACAACTAGTGCAAACATGAAGACTAACAACCAAAAGAAAACTCAAAAGTAAAACAGCAAAACTACCGAAAACCCCTCATAAGAGGAATTAATAGAACAAAATAAAAACCTCAGCATGTTAGTCAAGAAACTAACAAAACAGCTTGAAAAAAGTGTCACGCTGTCACCAATGTCTCAGGTAGAGAAAGTTGGGACAGAGGAAATGGAAATCGCCATCGAGAACCATACATGGACACCCGAAAAAAAACAGTTGGACCAGGGTAGCAAATTCGGAGGAAAATACGGCAGACTATGTACACAAAGGACCAAGCAGTGCCCCCGCTCAACCATGCCCCCCGCAGCGCCGCAGACGCACAGACGACGTCTCAACACACCGAGAGATATCAACAGGCACCCCTATGAGCGCATCGAACACAACGAACGCAGCAGGTAAAAGAAAGCGAAATTTACGGAACCTCGATGACCTCGAAACTTCGTCGATCCAAACATAAGATTCCGTTATAAGCTAACGCAACACGATTTAAAAGACAAACATAGAAACGACACAAACAAATATTAGTGTCTCGATTTAAATAATAATGTTAGTTAACTCGTTCTTAAAAAATTGTAACATGCAATCCATCCTCGATAGTATAGTGGTTAGTATCCCCGCCTGTCACGCGGGAGACCGGGGTTCGATTCCCCGTCGGGGAGAATATTATTTTTTTTCTTTTCTTCTTAATTATGTTTTCAACATGAATACATGTAAATTAGCTTCTCTAATCCTCCCCTCCTTCACCTCCCTATCCCCATTCCTCTGCTTCCCCCTAATTACATAAGATCGATCCAATATAGTTTTTCTCGCCATTTTTCTATATGTAATATACCAAACGACAGACCAAATCTCAATTTATAATACTTGACATCGCCCAGCAATAAGTGCGATAATAACATAACAGACCAGACCACGCGCACTTCAGGTTAGGAGTCATTAGTCTTTATTATATGTAACTTCTGCACTCCACGTTTTCCTTTTTTTTGTACGTTTTTATAAGGACATCTTTGTTATACCTTTTTTTTTGTTAACTCGCTGTTTATGTATATTTTATTGGCATAATAAACGTATGTTATAAAAAAAAAGTGGTTAGTATTCCCGCCTGTTTGTACATTTTTCGTTATAAAAATATCTTTCATCCTCTTACCTCCTCATAACATATTCACCTTATAATTTCATAATATTCTCCGCAATACTAGTTTGTAACTTATGTTAAGACATCGCAGTAAACACATGCATTAAAATTATAGTCTAACCACTTGCGCTGGCAAAAAATTCACCGACGCGTGTACCAGAACGATCTCCAGTGTAACTCGCTGGGAGGCGTCGCAGAAATCGAAAAAAGATTTATATTTTCTAAACTAATTTATTTTCCATTTTAGAATATGGGTTAAATATTGACAATTATACGCTATGCATAATCTGTGCTCTGGCAAACAATCCCACCCGATGTGCCATGCACGTCGTTTGTTTCTGTGACAATCGCATGATGACGTACATACCACGTCGTTGGCGATTCTGTGACAAAAGCATTACAACGTGCGTGGCACGTCTTTCCAGCGCAAGTGGCTAAGCGAACCAACTCTAGTCATAAGTTGATATAAGTGCAACAACCGGCGGTATTCTTAGGTTACCCATTAATCCTTAATTTAGTCTGAATTAATTAATTATACATAGTCATTGTAGGGTTCACAGCGAGTACAAAATAAAAAAGACAGCGTCATAACAACTAGTGCAAACATGAAGACTAACAACCAAAAGAAAACTCAAAAGCAAAACAGCAAAACTACCGAAAACCCCTCATACGAGGAATTAATAGAACAAAATAAAAATCTCAGCATGTTAATCGAGAAACTAACAAAGCACCAATGTCTCAGGTAGAGAAAGTTGGGACAGAGTAAACGGAAATCGCCATAGAGGACTGTAGCGACCAGTCGTGCGCACAATGGAAACTTCAGTCCACGTGCAAACGACCAGCGTAATTTATGACTCTCCTTCGAAGAAGCTGTTCTTGAGATGATGAGTCCCAAACTTTGACAACGCATGTTCGCAATAGAGTTTTTTTAGAGATATCTCAATAGCTAACCGAGACCGTCATAAATTAGGCGAGTTTCCGAAGGGTACTTGAAGCGGACCCAGCGACCCAAGAGCCATGTGGTCCGACGCGGGTGACCCGGAGGAAAAGTTCCACACGTTGTCACGTACAGTTCACTATCCCCTCCGATTACCACGCCGTCCCGAAAATACATAAGCGTATAGGAGATATATACTAGAGCGTAAGGGGGAGAGAGAGAGAGAGAGAGAGAGAGAGAGAGAGAAAGAGAGAGAGAGAGAGAGAGAGAGAGAGAGAAAGAGAGAGAGAGAGAGACAGGCGGTACAAACGGCAAAATAAACAACGCTGATTGGGAACGTGTGGGGTTAGCCAATCAGGGTTGTTCAAGAATTTTACCAGGGCAAACGGCCCTAAAATCATCCTACACACATCATCCTACACAAAGTCTCATCCTCGAACAAATAAAAGAAATCATAGAAGTCGCAGTAAACACACAAATCACACGCCTTTTTAACACAGATCCAATCTAACAGTGACAGAATCAACATCATAGCACAAGCACTAGATATAGAAATTTAAATGAATTTAAACGCCCTCAACAACAATATAATACTACTCAACAAACCCCTACGGAAAAAACATATCACCACATATTAAAAATAATAGATATAAACTTCGACAATCGAAACATAAGATTCCGCTATAAGCTCACGCAACACGATTTAAAAGACAAACATAGAAACGACACAAAAAAATATTAGTGGCTTGATGTAAATAATAATGTTAGTTAACTCGTTCTTAAAAAATTGTAACATGCAATCCATCCTCGATAGTATAGTGGTTAGTATCCCCGCCTGTCACGCGGGAGACCGGGGTTCGATTCCCCGTCGGGGAGAATATTATTTTTTTTCTTTTCTTCTTAATTATGTTTTCAACATGAATACATGTAAATTAGCTTCTCTAATCCTCCCCTCCTTCACCTCCCTATCCCCATTCCTCTGCTTCCCCCTAATTACATAAGATCGATCCGATATAGTTTTTCTCGCCATTTTTCTATATGTAATATACCAAACGACAGACCAAATCTCAATTTATAATACTTGACATCGCCTAGCAATAAGTGCGACAATAATATAACAGACCAGACCACGCGCACTCCAGGTTAGGAGTCATTGGTCTTTATTATATGTAACTTCTACACTCCACGTTTTCCTTATTTTTGTACGTTTTTATAAGGACATCTTTGTTATACCTTTTTTTTTTGTTACCTCGCTCTTTATGTATATTTTATTGGCATAATAAACGTATGTTATAAAAAAAAAAATAAAAAAAAAAAATGGTTAGTATCCCCGCCTGTCACGCGGGAGACCGGGGTTCGATTCCCCGTCGGGGAGTATATACATTTTTGTATATTTTTTTGTTATAAAAATATTTTTTATCCTCTTATCTCCTCATAACATATCTACCTTATATAATTTCTTAATATTCCCCGCAATACTAGTTTGTAACTTACATTAAGACATCGCAATAAACAAATGCAATAAAATTATAGTCTAAGCAAACCAACTCTAGTTATAAGTTGATGTAAGTGCAACAGCCAGCGGTATTCTTAAATTACTCATTAATCCTTAATTTAGTCTGAATTAATTATACACAGTCATTATCTTATGATAATTATCCCCTCTGAACCAAATACACTTACCAAAGATCTGTACAGTTTTATTTTCTTCGTNAACCAACTCTAGTTATAAGTTGATGTAAGTGCAACAGCCAGCGGTATTCTTAAATTACTCATTAATCCTTAATTTAGTCTGAATTAATTATACACAGTCATTATCTTATGATATATGTATAAAATTGTATTTTATTCGTACAAACAGTTATAAAAATAAAGTTCAACATCTAGATTGAAAGCGAGAGATTATCCCAAGCCCCTACTTCTTGACTCAATACATTTTACGTTTAAAGAAATATAAATTATGATATTGTTCTATGTATATCCTTATTAATAAAATTTGTAAGCAAACTGAGTTTTTAACATTCCAATAACATTATCTTAAATAGTTTAAATGTTATTTTTTTCTAACCAGTATTTTTACATTCAAGTTTTGGTAGCAGAGGACGCCTTGATGTTCGAGTATTATAAAATGTATATTTGTAGAGAGCACTGCAATCGCAATACAATTTCGTTAGATCTGTCAGTATTGCGTTGTGTCTTCCTATCAGAAATTGAATTTAGTAAATAAAATACCTAAACAAATTTATATTTTTTAGAGTACGTTGTAATTTAAGAGCAAGATGAATGCTCCTCCGACCTTTGAATCATTTCTCCTGTACGAAGGAGAGAAAAAGTGAGTATCGTAAATTAGTTAACCTATGATTCACGAAATTTCGAAGTGATTTGTACATCATCTTTGTATAATTTTAATTTAGAATAATTAAGGAGCAAGATACTAAAGTTCCCAATGCTGCAATTTTCACAGTTAACAAGGAAGACCATACGCTTGGAAACATGATCCGCAAGTATGTTCGTTTAGTGAACTTCTTAATATATGTAAAATGGTTGGAATAGCCTAAATATGGACATTAATAATAATATGTTATTCAATAGTCAATTATTAAAGGATCCTCAGGTTCTGTTTGCTGGATACAAAGTTCCACATCCGCTAGAACACAAATTTGTGATCAGAATACAAACAACATCAGATTATACACCACACGAGGCTTTTATGCATGCAATTACAGATTTAATCGCTGAACTTTCGTTGTTCGAAGAGCGTTTTAAAGTAAGGATCAATTACTATATTATTTTTAAAATCTCAAAAACTATAAATTATTATTTAACTATGAGTTATGGTTAAATATTCTTTTAGGAAGCTATCAAGGAGAAGAAAGAGGGTCTGGATTAAATGATAGCTTTTCTACTTATAGATACTAGACTATGCTATAAATAATTGATCTATATATACCTACATATAATTTATATATAAGACAACTGATTTAGAATGAATTTTGTATATATGAACAACTAAATAAAAGAAAGTCAAACACAAATATTACATTCATTTTGAGTAATGGGAAGTGTAGAGGCAGATTATGATATTTCTTTTAGGAGCATTCTAATTACTTAGATATTTCTACATACTATGTAGCTTTATAAAAAATATTATAATCAGTCTATTACAATTTTATTTTTCTTAGCTACAAGCATTTCTAATTCATTGAATGTACATTACAAGATGAGATTATATCAATGGACATTGCCAACTCTGTATTAAGGCTCAAAGTGGAAAGGCAAGAGAATGACAAATCTTAGTAGTACAATTTTACGGAACAGTCATTGTACAATCGTTCGTAGCGATAACAAAGCGGTAACAAACACAAAACTGGAAGTATTTACTATTTCGTTACTGTGCGATGTACAAATACGTTCAGAAGAAGTGTACTACTACACCGAATGGATATAAGGTTTCAAAGATAGTATGAGAAACATTTTAGTCTAACGCTAACGACTCGAGCGAAGGAACTATCACTGAATGTGTCGCATTTAGAACACTCAATAAATATTAAATAGATGTACAGATTGATATAAATATTATGTACATAATTACATCTGACTTCAGCGAGTCGGTTATGCGACTAACATTATTCCATTATGCACGCTTTAACGAAAATATGCATTAATTCAAATTGTTCTACAATTTGTCTAATAATGTACCCTAATGAGCTCAATTGTAATCTATAATTGAGCTTCATCGCTTTGTACTTTTAAAATTATGTGAAACTAGAACGGCGTAAAACATTTCGGACAAGAAAACATTTTTGCGAACATATACAGAGTGGAAGGCGTTAGAAAGAGAACACCTGACTAAAACTTGGTACAGAAAAAGAAATGGAACTCGTTGGATGGAAGTTTTGTCTTATGAATTTTTTCATTGCACTTTAATCTACAGAAAAGTAATCAGATATCCTTTTTCTTGCGGCTTGCCCTACAATATTTAAGACTGCATATGAACTTAACACAGGGGAGCACAGGTGTCCGTCAAGTCATTGGAGTGTCTGAATGGTTACATCCTATGCGGGAAGACATACAAACAACGGTAGCGTTTTAATTCTTTTATACAAAAATATACTCTGTAAAATTTCAACAGGTCTTTCTCTCGTGTCTAGGATTTCGTTTTGTCAAGCGGTAAAACGTGTGTAAGACCAAGAACAAGCTGTTAGAACGTCTCGGCGTCATCGCAATCACGTGTATCGTGTCCAAACACTGTAAAACAATCAAGCAACATTATGAATGGCAGTGGACAAACATAATAAAGAAGGTATTAGGTTAGCCAGTTTGAGAGTAATAGTTGTACCTTGAAAACAGTTTAATAGTGTAAAAAATAATATACAGTAAGGGTAAGTTAGAAAATAGAATTGTTAGGGATAGATGTGTGCAAAGTATTTTGGAGATTGTAGAATTTTTTTTGTAGAAATTTTCAAACGCTTCAAATTTTTTCTTTGGGGAGAAAATATTTGGTAAACAGATGCAACAATAACCGCGATTCTGATCATCTTAAACAATGAAATCTTACTTTCACAATTTTCGCAGTACGGTCTCTCCGCCGAAACCTTTTTTGGAGATTTTGCTACTTTTTCTGTTTCCAGGAAGTCTTGAGCTTGACGTGGGCAATCTTCTGTTTCATGCAAGTCGAATTGATCACAAATATCACAGAACATGCGTGGCGTAGCCATGCGTTTCTCCAATGTATTCCTAAAATAAAAAACAATTAATGCGTAACAAATCCGTTATCAAGAACGATGACTAAAAAATTAAGTGTTACGAACTGAGTATAATCATCAGCTTCGTTAGCAGGTACTCCCATTTCGAGAACCTCAACTTTACACTTTAAGATATCATTTTTGCGTTGCATATCTACTATTACAGAATTCAAGAAATTTATCTGAGTTTGGGCGGTCTCATTTTCCTCTTTTAATTTTAAGATATCGATATCTTGATCGACTGAAAGACAGTAATATATATTAAAACAATTGTAGAGTGATCGTGTCTTGATTAGTAATACAATTTTTACCTATATGTTGTTTCATATCACCACCACCTACCTACAAAAATATAAAATTTAGTATGTTATAAAAAATTTAAATGTTAATGTCATCGTTAAAACTTACATCATAATTGTTCTTCATATTCTCCCGACTAAGTTTCAGCTGGTTCATTGCTTCAGCATATTTGGCAGTAATTTGTTTATTTTCTCGTTCCCTAAAAGAATGGCAATTTATGTTTAACATTGTTTCTTAACAAATTCTTGTAGTTCTCTATGCACTTACAAGTTATTTTGCTCTTCTTTTAATTGTGTGGATTCTGCAGACATACGGTTCATTTTCTCCATCAGGTTCTGCAAATTCTTATCAGCTTCTTTCTCTTTATTTTTCATAGTATTTGTTAAAATTTCGATCTTTTGTTCTCCATCTTTCAGCAACTTTTCAAGGGATTCTTTGCTATCCAATAAATTTCCGTTTTCTTTGTTTATGTCATCCAGCATCTGCTTTTGCACACTTTCTAAAGCATTGATTTGTGCTGTTAATTTGTTAAGTGACACTTCTTTATCATTCAAATCGTTAGCTTGTTTATCTATCAAACTTTGCAGGGAAACTTGCTTATGCTCTAGCTCAGAATTTTTCCGAAGCATATTTTCAATTTCAGTCTGTTTGGATTTCACCTCAGACTGTAACGCATTTTGCAATTTTATCACAGATTCATCTTTGGCATTTTGTAACTCTTTTATCGTACCTTCTACTTCTTGAAGAGAACGAATTCTTAAATTTAATTCTTCTTTCACAGTCTTCAATTCTGATTTCAGAGTATTTATATTAGCTTCTAATGAAATCTTCGTTTGCGTTATATCTTTAACTTCATCCTCCTTCGTTGAAACTGCTTCTTGCATCTTCTTCACTTTTTCCTCACTATTCGACTGTTCTTCTTTCATGGACGTAATGGTATCGTTCAGTTTAAATATTTGTGCATCAGCCTCTTCTGCTGACTTCTTCAATTCGGCAAGAGAATCATCCTTAATCTTAATGGCCTCCAACGCATTGCCTAATTTTTCTTTAAGCTCTTTAATTTCAGTGGACAGTGTGTCCACAGTACTTGTAAGACTCCTATCAGTGGTTTCTTTATTAACTATTAAAGCTTCATTTGCTTTTTCTAATTCTGAGAGTTTACTTTGAATATGCTGGAGCTCAGAATCTTTTTCAGATATCGAAGATTCTAATTTCTTGCGACTTTCTGCTTCAGCACTCAATTTCTCAGTTAACTCTTCTATGGACCAGCGATTGGCACTTTGATCTGCTTCTAACTTACTTTTCAATTTCTGTAATGCTTTTGTTTCTTCTTGAGAAGCAACTAACTCAGTTTGCAAATTGCCAATTTGTTGCTGCAAAGAAACTGTGTCCTCATCGTGCAAATTTTTCAATGCATCATATTGCTTTTGCACGTTAAGAATTTCTTCTTTAGCGTTCAACAACTCAGCCGCGGAGTTAAGTGCTTTTTGTAATTTCTCGTTGAGATTACCTCTAACTTGCTCACTCTCATTTATCGTTTTCTTAAGCTCACCATTTTCTGCTTCGAACTGTTTTATTTTGTCCAACAGTTCAGACTTTGTACCTTCTTCCTTTTGCAATTGGGACTTACTAGCTTCTAATTCTGCAAGCTGTTCCTGGATTAATGCACTATTTTTATTTAATTCTTGTTCCATGTTACTCAATTTTCCTTCCAGGGATTTCACAGCGTTTTCACTTTTGAACGATTTATCCCTCAATTCATCAAGCTCCCTTTCTTTTGCTCGCAAGTCTTCATTGTATTTCATCAGTTGTTCAGAGGAGTTCGCAGAGCTGCTTATTAAATTTTCAATATCTGCCTCCTGTAGTGACAAACAAACGATTAAATTATGCTACCCAAAATATCTAACTCATAAAAGGAAAATTGTACCAACCAATTTTTCTTTTTGAGCTGTAACTTGCGTTATTTTATTCTCCGCGCCAGCCACTTGTTCAGTCAATTTCTCTATGTTCTTCTCAAATACGCGAAGTTCGCTCTCCAAATTGGTTTTAGTTTGTTCTGATAACGCGAGAGCATCTTGTAATTCTGGAACAAGCAAATCAGTAATATTGACGTACTAAAAAAATAAAGGAAATTTGTAGAAGATAAAGTACAACTTACCTGAAGTCTTTTCCTTGAGGTTCTTTATTTCTTCGTCCTTGTTTGCAAGAATTGATCTTAGTTCAGCTATATCTTGTTCCAGTTTGCTAAGTAACATAGACTTTTGTGAAATGTCTACGTTAGCATCGCTAATGCACTTCGACTGTTCTTCAATTTGGATCTGATAACGTTTAGTTAACTCCTCGATCTCAGCTGCACTCGTGGACCGTAGTTCCGAGAGTTCTTTTTCCTTTACCAGCAACTCTTCGTGCAACTTCTTCAATTGTACAGAAGAATTTACTTCCGTGGCCATCAAGGAAGCGATATCTTGCTCCTAAATTAACAAAATATTTATGACTCATAAAACTCATATTTATAAACCAGATAGTTACCAATTTTTGTTTTTCCTGGACTATCTTGAAGCTGTCTTCAGCTTGTGATTGATACTCCTGTATCTGTTCGGAAAGCAAAACATTCTTTTCTTCCATTAACTTCAGTTTCTCGCTCAATTCTGCAAAACAAAGTACCATACAAAGTAAAGCATGGTTTTTAAAAATATATTTCTTCAACATTATAAACGCACCTTCGAGTTTTTTTAAGGCAATGATTAATTCTTCATCTTTTGTTTTATTTAGATTTATTTGAGTTTCCAATTCAGCTTTCAGACTCGCGTCTGATTCTTTTTGTGCCGCATTTTCTTTTTGACTCTCATTCAATTTGGCCTCCAATTCCCTAATTTGTGCTACACATTGTTCTACGAGCGTAGTCTTCTCTTGCACTTCCTTCTCGAGACTCGTCTTTGTTTCTTCCAGGCACTTGTTTTGGTTCTGCACATCTATGATGATTCGGTATCGTATTATCTCCCAGGAAATTAATTTTGCTTTTGTAAGTGTACTCAGCAATTGATTTCGAATGATTGAAATAAGCTTTTAATTCAGAGCAGATCATCATAAGTACCTTCCAACAGATTCCTATTCTGAGCAGCATTGGAAACTTCATTGCGAAGACGAGCCAGTTCTTCCTCGGTTTCGAACAGCTTTATACTGTCCTGTTCGAATTGAGCAACGCGTTCTCTTTCCTCCGCCAGCTGCTTTTCAAGATCTTTGATTTTGTTCTCATTTACAGTATTTATCACCTAACGACAAACATGCTTATTTAGTACCCGGATGAATCAGTTCGCGTATACATCAACTAACACGAAGAAGCGCATCAAGATATACAAGAGCACTGTTGTTTACTGTGTCGATCAGATTATGTGAGAAAGACAACGATTCGATACAGTACAAAGATGATAAGACTTCGTGATATACTTATGAACAACTGTACTTGAGGTATCATTTAATATTGCCGTGTAACAACATACAACAATGTATAACATGAATCAATTGAAATAAGTACAAATAGAAAATAATATTCAAAACAAAGTAGGTAACAAATAATAAATAAATAAATAAATAAATAAATAAATAAATAAATAAATAAATAGCGTTGATCTCGAATTCTCGCGCGGGAGGTCAATTAACAAATTACATACTACTTCAGCGTAAAGGAAGCGATTACCGGAAATCTAACAATTATTCTACAGTGCACCGCAAAGCGTGTTAAACCCGCACCTTCTTCCTGACGTAGCTTAATGATCTATGATACAATTTCTATTTTCTAAACTCATAATACTATTCTTCTATCTTAATGTACATGGAAAGTCTAGACGAACATCGAGTTCTATTTATAATGATATAAATTCTGGTAATTAATGTTAACCAATAGGTGAAACAATTAATCGTGAAAGCATTGGAGAGGAGTGTACTGCGAAATGTCACAGAAATTTCAAACCGAGTTGTGGTGAAATGATAAATGATATGACTACAGTGAAGATAAGAGAAGCGGTGCAGAAAAACAGCATCATCAACCCCTCCTCGGGCCCAAACGGCTGCCATGGAATACTCACACATTGTTCAGTTCTCTCTTTCTGAAAATAAAATGATAAGTTTCTTGCGTTAAACCCACAGGCTGGACAGAAACGTTTTGTGTGCCGTATGCGGAATTAATTTTCATTTTAATTCGAATACAGTCACAAGCATAGCTTCTATGTCGTACTCTCGCTTCCAAAATCTAATTTGCACGTATATCATCCCACCCGCCACCACTCTTTGATTATGGTAAAGCTCCTAATTCTATTCTAACAGAAGCGTACTAACATTTAATCTTGAATTTTGAGTAATACTTGCGTCTCCTTATAGTTCCACTATGCAATTGTCGAACCAGTATTTTAAAAAAAATGATAAAAAAATAAATGAGAAACGGAAGTTCGATTAAAGAAAGTAAAATGATGAAGGCGATGAGAATGTTTCATTTGAATATTTGATAAATTTTAAGAGTCCCTAAATAACCCTGTATTCTTGGATGTCTATACATACCTTTTCTTTTATTGTGCATATATTATTTTTTAACACATTGATTATCATGGTTCAAATTAATTTTGTCTGAGAGGATGGATTTTTCATAAAAGCTTCTGAATAGATTGATTTGACAATCAGTGTGTTAAATTGTATTATCAAAATCTGTATTTTTTTGTGACCGAAGTCATTAGATAGTCAAGACCTATACCTGAATATCATCCTTATTAACAGATTCCTCTTCAAAGCGAAACAGCAGGTCTTCACACTTCCTCTTCTCCTCCTCCAACTGCAGTGTCAGTGTATTTTTCTCTTCGAGCAGCTTAATAAGATCTGCTTCAGCTTCTGTGACCGTTCTTTGCATTTTCTCTCGGTACTAAAATTAATATATAATAATTAGACAATCTCTCTCTTTCTCTNATAAATAAATAGCGTTGATCTCGAATTCTCGCGCGGGAGGTCAATTAACAAATTACATACTACTTCAGCGTAAAGGAAGCGATTACCGGAAATCTAACAATTATTCTACAGTGCACCGCAAAGCGTGTTAAACCCGCACCTTCTTCCTGACGTAGCTTAATGATCTATGATACAATTTCTATTTTCTAAACTCATAATACTATTCTTCTATCTTAATGTACATGGAAAGTCTAGACGAACATCGAGTTCTATTTATAATGATATAAATTCTGGTAATTAATGTTAACCAATAGGTGAAACAATTAATCGTGAAAGCATTGGAGAGGAGTGTACTGCGAAATGTCACAGAAATTTCAAACCGAGTTGTGGTGAAATGATAAATGATATGACTACAGTGAAGATAAGAGAAGCGGTGCAGAAAAACAGCATCATCAACCCCTCCTCGGGCCCAAACGGCTGCCATGGAATACTCACACATTGTTCAGTTCTCTCTTTCTGAAAATAAAATGATAAGTTTCTTGCGTTAAACCCACAGGCTGGACAGAAACGTTTTGTGTGCCGTATGCGGAATTAATTTTCATTTTAATTCGAATACAGTCACAAGCATAGCTTCTATGTCGTACTCTCGCTTCCAAAATCTAATTTGCACGTATATCATCCCACCCGCCACCACTCTTTGATTATGGTAAAGCTCCTAATTCTATTCTAACAGAAGCGTACTAACATTTAATCTTGAATTTTGAGTAATACTTGCGTCTCCTTATAGTTCCACTATGCAATTGTCGAACCAGTATTTTAAAAAAAATGATAAAAAAATAAATGAGAAACGGAAGTTCGATTAAAGAAAGTAAAATGATGAAGGCGATGAGAATGTTTCATTTGAATATTTGATAAATTTTAAGAGTCCCTAAATAACCCTGTATTCTTGGATGTCTATACATACCTTTTCTTTTATTGTGCATATATTATTTTTTAACACATTGATTATCATGGTTCAAATTAATTTTGTCTGAGAGGATGGATTTTTCATAAAAGCTTCTGAATAGATTGATTTGACAATCAGTGTGTTAAATTGTATTATCAAAATCTGTATTTTTTTGTGACCGAAGTCATTAGATAGTCAAGACCTATACCTGAATATCATCCTTATTAACAGATTCCTCTTCAAAGCGAAACAGCAGGTCTTCACACTTCCTCTTCTCCTCCTCCAACTGCAGTGTCAGTGTATTTTTCTCTTCGAGCAGCTTAATAAGATCTGCTTCAGCTTCTGTGACCGTTCTTTGCATTTTCTCTCGGTACTAAAATTAATATATAATAATTAGACAATCTCTCTCTTTCTCTCTCTTTAATTCTTCTCTTGCGATTGTTAATTGTATTTACTATTGGCCAACTCTAAGTTGTGATCAGAGGCAGTAAGTACCTGCTCATATTCTAGCTTCAAAGAGAGTATAGACTGTTCAGCTTGATCTGCTTGATTAGCTGCTTTTGTCACACGTTCACGTTCTAAATCTCTTTCTCTGCGTAGCATCTCTATCTCCTGCTGCTTCTCCTTCAAAGACTCCTAAAATGTTTGAGACAAATACACATAAAAATAATTGCACATTGTCAACTAATCTATATTAAAATATGTTACGCTTTCTATGTCTTTTTGAAACTTCTTAATGTAGGATTTGGAAGAACAGGAGATGCGTTTACTGGAAGAATTAATATCAATTATCATATTTCCTTCACTATGGCAATGTATTTCAATATTGTACATTTAAAGTTACTGTGACTAAATAGTGAAACTTGGACGGAAATTAGTGATAATGCTCTGTCATCAAATTATGCATTAGTGCTCATGTATTCTTAGTTAATTGACGTTTCTGAACTTTAATATCATTAAAAATTGGTGTCTAGTAAACACCTTATGCGAAACATCTACGTTTTACATAACGTTAAAAGAGAACAAAGGGTTAGAAAAATGAATTTTAACTCATATAGATATAATTAAATATATGAAAAAATGAACACTTTCATTTAATTTAAGATCTACGTGGAAACAAAGCAGACATCAAAAAGTTCATCGTAGTACAAATTTGATGACATTCAATTGAACAGAGTGACTACTAAATTAGAGTGTATACTGTTAGGCACAAATATTTCTTTCCATCAGATTAATGGACAATAATTTTTTCTACGGTTAAAATAAAATATTTTCAAGTAAATGCCCACGTTCGTGGGAGTTGGTTTCTAGGGAGACTATGAGGGAATGGATGGAGGATTTTATTAAAATCATGTACAGACATCAGAATGCTTTTCTAAGTTACTTATCTAAAAACAGCACTAACAATTACATTCTATTGTACTTGCTAACTATATAGGTCGTAAAACTGTGACTGGTTGTATTGTAAAACGTTGTTATGCTTAATACTCAATAACAAATAATCACAACACGCTTGTTAATCTACTTCTATGCTAACAACTACTCAAACAGCGCTTTACGCGTCACGACCAACTAATTGAGCGTGACAAATAAATGTTAAAACATGGTCTCACCTGCAGGGCGGTTAATGCAGGTGCCGACGTGCGCATACCAGGCCTCTGGAATTTCGGATGCAACAAAAACAAAAATCGTGTCATGCACAGCCAACAAATTAAACTGCATAATTCTGTTCACCTTCGTCTTCGATCAACAAATATAATTGCCAAATAAAAAACGTAATGACCCTGTAAAGTCTAAATACTAACAATACAATAATGTTAAACAGATGACTATCATTCTGTCTTCACAGAAGTGTCAACATTACAGGACTAACAAAGCTTGTCTGTAGAATATACAATAGAAATACAACAATGATCGCTTGAATCCTAAAATATGCTTGAATCTGTTAAGCTCAGGTATCAATCGCTCGATAAAATCGTTCAACAAATGATAAAGTTGCTACAGTGACAATAACAAAAAAAAAGAGACAACTGAAACATATATACGTACATATTAATTCAACAAAATTACTATAAATCTAATCAACGTGAACAGCAAGCTAACAACAGTTCTTGTCAACAGCTGCAAAACGGTGTTTCAACGCAGGCTGATCAAACAAAGTCACGCATAACTCAGCAGAAACGCGTTTACACAGTGAACAGTGCTCAAAGCAAGTAGAGGATCATTCATTCGAATGTCACCTAACACATGGAGCCAGGAACGGTGGTCACAAATACATCAGTAGATTGAGGATCTCTACCCAGAACCTATTTGCAACATTGCTACAATATAATGTAATATATTAACAATGTGTTCAAGTTCATTTGAAACAGTAGAACATCTCGAACCGTCCAGAGAAGTGATCCTCCAATTGCTGTGAGCAGAACAGAGGAAACAATAGAGATAGTAGAGAAGTCTGCAATCAGGATGGAGGATGCAAGCTGCAGTACAGGTCATTCCCTTCATTCTGGCACCGTGAATCTTACCCTCGGCGTATTGATACCAGCCCTGGCAGCTGTGCTAGCCGTGCTGGCGATGCTTGACAGCGATATCAGCGACTCTCTCGAGCCTGTCTTCTTCACGGAGGAGTTCAGTGCGGCGCCGGTTGGCCTGTGCACCATGCAGCTTGTCCGTTTGCTCGTTGGAGAACGGCTGACCTTGTGCGCGGGTGCGAACAGCCCGTATTTAGGCCGGCACTCGAAGTACCTGAAACAGTGCTAAACCATTTAGCGGATGGGCCCGAGAAAGATCTAATAAATATTAACACAGCTACAATTTCGCGTTAAGTCTCTAGTTGGTGATTAACAAAGCTTTCGTCCGGTTCAGATACTTAGAATTTCTCCTCCTAACTTGGATCAATCGAGTGTCCACTGTAGGCGGTCTAATCCAAGTCCCGACCTACTGAACGTCTTTTCAATAGTTTTCTATGGGGATCTCGCTGTAAGATACATAGATGCAAACCTGTTGTCTCCAACGGAGCCATCGTTCTTGCCAACGGGATCATCCAGTTCCACGCCACACCATTCACCAGCAGCAAACTCCGTGGTGCCCATGTACCTGAGGACACCGGTTTTGCTGCCTTGGCTGGAGGATACTATCACCCTGTCGCCTATCCTGAAGTCTCTCTGCGACACCGTGGACGATAGGCTCGTTGTCGACGCGTCTGTGTGACGAGTTACATTCGTTACAGGCATAGAAATCTTTGGGTAGACCACCTCTCTCTCCCCCCCCCATCCAAGGCAAATCTACCATAAAGATTACCTCTGACCCCTCCCAAAGAAAGGAATCACCACGAATGCAATTAGTCTCTGCAAGATTTCCTCCATTACAAAGGAAGAAAAAATCTACCTGGAACCTCCTGTGCAATGACAGAGAGATGGCGCGGTCGTTCAAGGTCACCTTACCTATTTCCGTTTATGTAATCTCCTTTGAATCTTTTTGATTTTCTGAATATATATAGAGAAAAGGGAGAGAAAGGGAATTAGCGGGATAATGGGCGGAGCAAAGAAAGAACAGCGTGGAGGAGGGCAACCGTTCAGTGACCTTGAACGGCCAACATGTTCCAGCCGGAGTGTACAGAGGAAATGCTTGGATCCAGATTCTGGGTTCTTTTATACATTTATTGACGGTGAAAAGGGTAAGGAATCGGCGAAGATCCGATTTATTTACTAAAAATACTAAAACACAATGCGACGAGCAATACGACTACATAGATAGACATCTAAAGACGCAGCAGACTCTGCTGGAGCAAGCACGAGCACAGATTTCTCTACGAACATAACCCCAGTTCCGTTAAGATAGGGAGCAGCGAAACCACGCCCACTCGGAGCAACGAAGCCACGCCTACTCGAAGCAGAAAATCGCCCCTGAGAACAATTTAGGGCAGTCCCGAGCAAAGAAGGCTCGCGGCCCGTGCCTGCGCCACCAGATCAAGGAGCATAAGTGCGTACGAAGATAAATACACTAAGGACTACAGCTTGCTACATGGTTAGGAGGTACATTTACAATAATAAATTCTACTGAGCGTCCGTACAGTGCGGTCTACATTAATCTACGTGCGCGTGCGATTAGGGACGATCTACGGCGTTCTTCGAAAGCCGGGATCCGTAGAATTCTGCAGTTCATTATATCACGGGAGGACTGTCGATGGGGGACTGCAAAATTCACGGGGATCCAAGGTCAACGGGGAACCTCCATCTTCCCGCGTTTTTCGAGCTCGCAGCTTTCGACGTCCCAACATTCAAAGCGGACTACGGGCGAGGATAGTATCTCTTGTACCGATCCTTACTTAACGACGGGCAGATGGTCCTCCCGAGGCTCCCCTTCATGCTGTCCGGCGGTGTCGTCGGTGTCCTCTGCGTTGGCGACATCATCGAGTCGGATATCGCCTCCCTGGTCAACCTGGTCAGCCGCGAGAAAATCCCGCGCTTAGCCTCGCACTGGAAGTAACGGCAGCCAGCCACCGATCCGTCGTTCTTTCCTGAAGTGCATCGACTTCTCGTCAGTCTTTCACCCTCGGAAAAGTCAACTTTCTAACTACTGTATGATTCGGGATGCTCAGGTTCGTTTCGACCCCTATCTTTGACCGTACTCTTGCGATCGAAGATCGATTTTGATTCGAGGACCGGGAAATGATTGCACGGGAATCGTCCAGAAAGGAAGATCAAAGGATATGATGATTTTTCTATGAAATCTAGACAGCTTGAAACTAAACTCTAAGTTGAACTCAAGTCATGCAACATCATTCTTTGTTAGGGCAAGAGTTTCGTAGAGCTAACTATGACCAATTCAATTATTTGAATAGAATTTTTGTTATTGTAAATAAATTACGCGGATCGCTAAACCTTCTTTTTTGTACACTTTCAGAATTAAAACGCAACGCTTTGCAACTATTATTACGATCCTACGACGGTTCCACGTAAGTTCTGCATAATTTTTGTAGAATGTATGATTTTAAAGTAAAGCACAATAACGAGCACGAAGTAGTTTCGTGTTAAAAAGGTCGTGAAGTCACTCTCGTGTCTAGACTAGAGTACACCCTCGAAGGTGATCGAATTATAATACGTGCTTGCGAGTGAAAAGTGGCGGGTAATGGGTCAAGAATCATTCGATGATGATGATGATGATGATGGATCTTACCGATTGGTTCGTCGAGGACCACTCCAGCCCAGTCTCCAGGCGCAAACTGGGTTTCCCCGATGTAAGCGATCGCGCCGGGTTTCGTTCCGCCGACCCATACTCGGTCTCCTATTATAAAGCTGTCGGTGTCTTCTGTCAGGACGACACTAGTATCTGTCCGACAACGACAAGTTCGTTTAATAGACTCAGGGATTGTTCATTTCTTCGTTAAAAGACGGAGAGCTTTCATTTCTTTATTTAGAAGTCGTAGGTGTTCCGAATTTTTCAAGTTTCTCTTCCAAGCATTTTTTTTCCTGAACCCCTCAGTGACATTTCCTAAATGCAATTTCGTTGTGCGATTTAATGCTAGCGAATTACCTTCTACAATAATCGATACTATCGATAAGCAAAGGATTGGGATAAATTAACGCTTTATCTACTCAAAAATGTGAATCCACGGAAAAACTTCGATCTTCCAAGAATTGAGAGATTTTGTTGAAATTACAATTAATTAAGATATACTTCTAGATCGTAGATGATTTGAAACAATGAAATAATTATTGGTAGATAATGCGTTAACAATTTTCTGCAACGGTAGTGCTGTAGTGCGACCTGCAGCGCCGGTGACTTGAACGCTTGGTAAGACATCTTGTCGCTCGGTCGTCCAAGATGGCGAAGCTGTAGGCAGATCTCGCTGAGAGAAAGCTCAATTCTACGTTGTAAAAGGGCTGAAGAATTTTTTCACATTCTCGTAATGCATCAATAATTAACGTACACCGTGATCATTCCGAAGGACAGTTCAATTTGCGCCTCGCAAAAGTAAGGATTAATGGAGAAATGAATCTTCGTCACTGGGGGAAGCTAGACCGAAGGAACCCAGGATTTCTTTTATTCGTATAAATCGTGGCGCTGCTTTAAACATCATTCTATACACGCAAAAAGATTTTAATTGTCGTTGAACTGGATATCCAGGCATAATTTCAATTAAAAATCTTTCTGCAGTTTCCCAATTAGCATGCTCCTGGGAATGATAGCGCTGAGATAAATGAACGCTAATTGTAACCATGCAGCAATGTTGCATTCTTGTAAAAGCTGGAGCATTCTCACGATCATCAGCCACGTTCACAATAAAACAAACATTTCGAAACAAGCTTGGAACATTCGTGCTACTAACTCAGATAGTGCGCGGTTTTTAGAACGACGCTGGAATGGCGAACGCGATCATTATACATATATCAATAATAATTCTACAGAAACGAAACGAAACGATAGAATTGAATCGATTATACAGTTTTTGGTCGGCGTTTAAGCGTCCAGCATCGTTCCAAGCCGGAAAATAGGAAAACAGGAATACAAAAATCAACGAAGCACCCACCTGATCCTCTGCGCAGGCCAGCCTCGCTTAACCGACGGCCGTGCGTTTCCCAGAGATGTTCCATCTGGTCTGTGATCATGCAAAACAACGCAGAAACAATGCAAATCGTACAGGGACAAAGCATGCTTACTCGGGGACAAGCTTCTACGTTCCCATCGACCAGCTCGATAGAAATTCGTCGGGGCAAACCAAGGCGGACGTGTACAATAAACGTTTCACAAGGTAACATCGATTAAAGACTTTATATTGTATAAATCATGATATTAATATTCAGTATTCATTATCGTATTCAATAGTATACTCAATGGTTCATTCAATGCCCACGATTGTTTAAATAAGTGATCTAACCCAGACTAATTCTGCACGTATTATGAAAAAAAGAATCTACCTCCGGAATCTTTTCTGAAACAAGACTTTCCTTTTTCTGAACACGAGGCATGCTTAAAGATCGACAGAACAGGGTCTCGAAAAATCGAGCAATTACGTATAATAAACGCGGATGTGTTTTCGAACGGTGCTCAATGGACTGATTAACGGCGGCGCCGCGTGTCGCGTCCCGGCAGGAAGTTAATTTCATTCCCAAGTGGACAGTTATGTAAAAGAGCAATTAAGAAGGTGTGTTCGCCTGTTATGATCGATCGGCCTCCGAGATAGATCGTAATATTCGACCGGTCGCCGTGCGCCGGAAAGAAGTCGCCATGTTTTCGCGGGCTGTCGAAGCGACCGGCAAAAATAACGCGACCGCAGATAAAGCTGTCTCGTTTTTAATTCAATTAGAACGCAAGGCGAGCGCGCTATCTCGCCACCTCCGGCAGAAAAACCGAGAAAAATACCGCGATTCGCGATTTAATTAATTATTCATGAGGGAACGTGGGCGAGACGGTGGTAGTAGGTCGTTCGCGTGGGCGGCTGTGTTTCTGTTCGACGAGATCGATCCGCGATTAGAACGCTGATCGATCTGCTGATTTTTCCTTCGGCGATCGATCGGAATTTTCGACGTTCGTATTCTTTCAGCGACAATTCGGCGTTCGTTTGCAGCAACGAGAGCGTCGTCGTCGTAGTAGTAAGAGGCTGCTATTATTTCTCGCTTGCGATTGAATTCGATTCGAAGAAACTACTTTCAGTTTCAGAAATTATGTATTATATCTGCGAACGCGTTTTATTATCAGACGTATGTCAAATACACTCGCTGAAAGGTTCTTTCTGTAAGCAAATGAATCATTACTACAAATATTTCGTTACAGTGTCGACCTCGTGTCAGAGAGTAAACAAGTGCCATTCTTGATTCAATACAACTACCCGATTATTCAACGAAAAACCTACGTTCACAACTGTCGGTCAACGCTACCAAAAGCGAAAAGAGAGAAAAAAAAACACGCGACAACAGTGTTCCAATTCTAAAATACTATATATAGAATAAACGTCGAATGAATCATCATTAGAAGAATGATCGAAAAGGAACACCGAGCGAGAGGACCTTGAGAGGTCTAAAAATACTGCGTTTACAATTACTTTCGCGATACCAAAAAAACAAAAAAAAAGAAATCAATGAACACTTTCATCGTGTTTTCACAGCGCGAACCACCTTGGCGAACGCGAGCTTATTTCTCGTTTTGCAAAATGGCGGCTCGATTGGACGGAACACGGTTCTCTTTCGGTGAATAGTTGCACGCCAAGGATTTATGCATCGATCCTTCCGAAATAAACGCAGCGTCAATCACCATGACCGATCGTAACGCGATCCGTGTACGCAGTCATACAATCTCGATACTACAGGGTGTCCCCATACATAAGCAAGGTTAATGGTGTAAACCTATTCGATTACTACCGCCGCGAACAGGTAGCAGTTTTGTTCCTGGAATCTAATCTAATGTCCGTAGGTAATGAGATCCGGATAAATCTGTGATCCTCATCTAGAATCGATTCTCGCTCGAGCCGAACGGTCGGCTCGCTGATCTATCAAGGAACTCCGAGCTACGTCGGCGTTTCAACTTTTCTACGATTACGCCGCGGATCGATGCGGCTGGATGATTGATGGAAACAGGAGAGTTGATTCAGAAATCGAAGCTCCCCGCGACTGCATTGCGGAACTGCACGCGTTTCCCGCATTCGCCGACTTTTCCGCTACAGTCGAACGTTCGCTGGTTCGCTTTCTTCGCGAGAAATCGATGGGATCAATTATCCAATGTTCGAGTACACATTTGCCACCCCTTGCCGTACTTTGACGAGTCCGACTCGTCGTGAAAATTTCTAGTAATTTTGTCCTTCAAAATTGGAATAAAATTCTAATCTCTTCTCACCAATATTTAAGCGTTCGAGTAAATTTGAGCACACGATAAGCATCAATTTTCTTTCCCTTTTCAGAAATTATTGCGATCGAAAAATTCCTAATCGCAGTAACTGCGAAGAAAATGGTATGTCAAGGGGTTAATACTGCCGCTAACGTTTAAATTGATCCTCTCAACCCTTTGCACTCGAAGCCGATTTAACTTTAAATTCAATTTGCTTCCATCTTGTAAGACTTAATGCATTCTATGCGATCTGTGCATACAACAGTTATGGTTTCAACAGTTTCTTGAATATCAGCAAATTTGATAATGTAAAAGTTATTTTGGAATATGGTATAGCAATTTATAAATACCAATTATCGCTCGGGAGCAAAGGGTTGATCAATTATGAATCATGGGAATTAGTGTTTAAAAATTTATCAGGCAATTATTATCGATACCAGAGACTAGAAGATTGCAAATAGGCAGATAAGATTTATCTTCAGGATCTGTGATACTAACTTGTATCGATCGTCGAAGAGGCCTTCAATAAATCGCAGAACAGTGCAAAAATAATTTTTAACGAATTATAGAAGAATGGTGCAAATTTTCTGTATTGAGAGGTAACGTAACTCCGTGCTCAAGAATTATGTTAACAGAAAAATTGCACTGTTCGAACAAAGAATTTCCTATTGTGTCGAGATCCACGTAAGAGGATTGAGATTTCGATCGAAGTTGCAACATCATCGGCGCCATTCGCCGTCAGTCGAAACCAAAAACTGACCAACGTATGCTAATCAGGCCGAAAATATGCGACATCTTCGTTCGCGTGTCCACGAGGCTAGTTATCTTCCCATATTTAGGCGACGGTGACAAGCCGGTGTGTCGATCACCGTCGGGCCGATTGCGTCAGAACGAAAGATCGTCACCTTAGGCGATCCTGATCTACGAATGCTAATCGCAAGAGCAACAGCAACAAAAAAACGTGTAAACATGCGAATGTTATGCTTGCCAACTGGCCGACACATGCGACGATGAATCGACCGAGGAATTTCGAGAATGCTGGCGAATGAGCGTCGAATCTTTTTCTATTATACATTGTTTAAATATAGAGGAATCCATAATCCAATACATACTTGAACTTGAGTCGCTAATCTCGGATCTCAACAACTTATTTACACTTTACTAATAGCTCTTTCAAAATCGAAGATCAACAATTCAGAATTCCTGAAAAAAATCGTCTAGAAGCTACGATAATCTTATCCACGATCCATGTTAAAATGAATTTTTCGCAAGTATCTATAATCTGAACAACTTATCTATAGTTTTCTAATAGTTCTTTCAAAATCGAAGATCAACAATTAAGAATTTCTGAAGAAAATTGTTCAATAAATTGTAACAATAATCTCATCCACAGGAACTGGATATCAGCCCTAGATATCACAGAGCACACAATTTATCTCTGATTTAATCCATCACCTCTTGAAGGTGCTTCGAAGCAACCACGAATCAAATGTACACATACTTCTTTCTACAAGTTATTGAGGAAAAATGTTCCAATCTCCAAGAGGTATAATTGCTTTGAACACAAAATGTTATATTAGGTCTGTCGGAAAGTTCTGTCCGTTTAAGAAATGAAAGGAAACAATAGATTTTTCATAAATTTAGTAATATTTATTGTACAATATAATTTCCGCCGTTACTTATGACCTCTTGCCAGCGTGATGGCAATTTGTGAGTAACATTTTTCAAAAATATATGTCTCAAATGAACATATGTGCATACCTATCGAAATTTGCAATGACATTATCGGACAGAACTTTCCGGTAGACCTAATACGATTGTCTCCAACTTCAAAAATCAGCCGCGTCTTAATACCAAGAGCTCCCAAACTTAAAATTCTAGAGGAACGGTTGCAACTTATGCAAGCGAAGCAGCCGAAAAAGAAAATCGCGCAGAGTCAACGTCCTATAATGTGCAAGAATTGGGATGCGTCTTGGAACTAATCCAGCAAGGATGCCCGGCATTCGAGAGTGCAGAAGCCTGCAGACGCCACTTTCATCGATTTCCTCGACAACAATCGGGTCGTAGTGCAGATAATATCGAGTATCGTGAACGTATCCGTTTCCCTGTCAAGTTGAAAATTGACATCATTACCTTGGGACTCGCGATCGCGTTGCGAAATCCGAGATCGAACATTCGTCGACACGATACCCCGGTAAGAACGGGGTACGTGTATACACGGATATAGGGTGGATGAAAATCACCTTGGACATTTTCCAAGCTACAGGAAAATGGGAGCAAAAGAAAAAGCTGAAAATGCTCCCTTGTTTTTCATTCTTGGCCAAGATTATGCAACTGTTCAGGAGGTTGGCTGAACTAGCATCGAATATGCAGTGTCTGACCATGACTCGCCGCGTCTACTGCAGCTTTAAGAGTCTGAGCTTCGAGGATGAAAGATTCGGGAAAACTTAAGAGGGTCAACAGCTGCTAGCAACCCTCCAAGTCACTTCAGTCAAGACAATTGTCTTTGCAATTGAATTGCAGATCCTCGTGCGAGCTAAAATTTTCCTGCAGAGCCGCAGTAGTTAAATAAAACTGTCCTTCTCTCGGTAATTTTTAAGAAGACAATAAACGTCTCCTAAAACTTTTCTAATGTCTCTTGGTACGTTGCCTAGACATTGTTCTCCCAAGCACATGAAATCTGCAGCCAGGTGATAGCTATAGTCGAGCTATTATTGATTAAAGAAGCACGGGGAACCGCGGCNCATAAATTTAGTAATATTTATTGTACAATATAATTTCCGCCGTTACTTATGACCTCTTGCCAGCGTGATGGCAATTTGTGAGTAACATTTTTCAAAAATATATGTCTCAAATGAACATATGTGCATACCTATCGAAATTTGCAATGACATTATCGGACAGAACTTTCCGGTAGACCTAATACGATTGTCTCCAACTTCAAAAATCAGCCGCGTCTTAATACCAAGAGCTCCCAAACTTAAAATTCTAGAGGAACGGTTGCAACTTATGCAAGCGAAGCAGCCGAAAAAGAAAATCGCGCAGAGTCAACGTCCTATAATGTGCAAGAATTGGGATGCGTCTTGGAACTAATCCAGCAAGGATGCCCGGCATTCGAGAGTGCAGAAGCCTGCAGACGCCACTTTCATCGATTTCCTCGACAACAATCGGGTCGTAGTGCAGATAATATCGAGTATCGTGAACGTATCCGTTTCCCTGTCAAGTTGAAAATTGACATCATTACCTTGGGACTCGCGATCGCGTTGCGAAATCCGAGATCGAACATTCGTCGACACGATACCCCGGTAAGAACGGGGTACGTGTATACACGGATATAGGGTGGATGAAAATCACCTTGGACATTTTCCAAGCTACAGGAAAATGGGAGCAAAAGAAAAAGCTGAAAATGCTCCCTTGTTTTTCATTCTTGGCCAAGATTATGCAACTGTTCAGGAGGTTGGCTGAACTAGCATCGAATATGCAGTGTCTGACCATGACTCGCCGCGTCTACTGCAGCTTTAAGAGTCTGAGCTTCGAGGATGAAAGATTCGGGAAAACTTAAGAGGGTCAACAGCTGCTAGCAACCCTCCAAGTCACTTCAGTCAAGACAATTGTCTTTGCAATTGAATTGCAGATCCTCGTGCGAGCTAAAATTTTCCTGCAGAGCCGCAGTAGTTAAATAAAACTGTCCTTCTCTCGGTAATTTTTAAGAAGACAATAAACGTCTCCTAAAACTTTTCTAATGTCTCTTGGTACGTTGCCTAGACATTGTTCTCCCAAGCACATGAAATCTGCAGCCAGGTGATAGCTATAGTCGAGCTATTATTGATTAAAGAAGCACGGGGAACCGCGGCGAAGGGCTGCAGTTTCGGTGCGATTACGGCGATGATTCTTGCCGGTTCACCCTGTATAAATCACGGGTGGTTCGAAAAGCCCTACCGGATAAGGGAAGCGGTCTCGCACGTGGGAGGAAAGACGAAACGGTTGGATATCGAGCGTACAACAAACACGCCGGATTGCATAACTGCATGCGTCATCGCGGCGATGATGATGATGACTGCACCGCGCGAGGTGCACCGACGTGTGTCCCTTCCTAGCATCGTTGCTCTTGGATGAACCAATAAGGCAAGATAAGTGCCCTCGATTCGTGGTGCCACGAGCTTTTGTACGCGCGCCGCATTTGTTTCCTTCGCCGAGGCCTTACAATGATTCATAACACTGCCCGCAAATTTTAATTAGGTTCCTCTCGTGTCTATTCGCTCTCGTACACGTTGCAAACGCCGACAACTCCCCGAGCTTAACCCTTGCAGCAATTTTTGACTATTTTCAAAATCTACGTATGGACAGAGTATGCAAATCTTTGATCTTTTTGTTAAAATAAGGTTTTTCTAAAACTGAAGCTGACCCTGAAGAAGTTATTGAAACGCGTTAGACAATGCTATTCTGAGAATCCAGTGGTGGACAGAGATTGGACATGAAGATACAAGGAATTAGAGATGAAGATGTCTAAGAGGTGACTCTGCAAACGAGTCCTTGGAGATTAAGAAACGAGATTGGGATTCCCGAGTCTCTGGAGACAAAGATTGCATTGGATCATACAAGAAATGTTGATTCAGATGAACGAAGATCCGTGGCGTCAAAGGTTCTTATCGAACGTGGACTTCCGAGTCTAAACGAAGAGCACATATACAGAGTGATCGGAGTTGAACGAAAATCACAGTAGCCTGAAGACCACAATACTTAAGACATGCAAGATATATGTTAAGAAATAAATGAACATGTTAAAGTTATATAGCATCGTAAATGTTAGAGAAGACCTCTTTGTGATGGAGCTCAATCCTGCAACTTATATCACAGCCAAGCGCATAATCACTGAACATAACAACCGGGATAAACACTATGAATAATTCAAGATTTCAAGAGAGAGCATGAAAAGGTACATAAAACAGAAAGAAATAGCTTCATCTAGTTTAAATCAAGATATAAGATTAAGATATTCAGACCTGCTCCAGGCTGAGAAGAGTTGTAAAGGCTAGTTCGTCGAATGTTTCTGTTAGTAGTAGTAGTAGTAATTGTAATTGCACGAGCACGAGATATTCACTGAACGATCGCAGAGAATCTTTTCCAGGAAACAAAGCGCCCGCAGTGGGACCGTTTGTTAGTGGGAATAGTATTTACCAGATCGCTCGGACGAGATCCGTTGCGGTGAGAGGTGGAAGAACGACTCGCGAGAAGTTCGCGGTCTCGCGCTTGTAAAACCACTCGTTCACGCTCGTCTCAGGGTCTGGTGGGCGTACTCGATCGCGTGGCGTGGGGAATTAGACGCGTTGAGTGTCGATCGAGCTCGATCTTTCATCTGGATCAGCTACGGCGACAGTAATACAGTCGTTGGACTTGAACTTAGACCCTACACTTTCGTCCCAAGACTTTCATCCTATGATTTACCAAACCATTTAGTCTTTAAGAAACCAATTTCAATCTCTAAGAAACCAATTTCAATCTCTAAGAAATCAATTTCAGTCTCTAAGAAGCCAATTACAGCCTCCATTCAACTTTGTCTATGATGAAGATCCTAAGCCTAAATTGCTGCTCCCAGAGGCTTCATATTGGATTGCTTTTGCTATTTTTGTAACAGAAATATTTTCACAGAGACCAATCACTCAATTTTGTTTATCCTGAAGATCCAAAGCCTAAATTGCTACTCTCAGAAGCTTCATATTGGAATTCTTAGTCAACAATAGATACATTTCTGTAAAGTCCGATTTCAGTGTCTATATAATTTTGTCTACCTTGGAAATCCAAATTCATTCATCAGGAGCAGTATATCCAGAAGTGTTACCTTATAAATCCTCTAAATTGCCTTGTAACCACAAACATATTAGGAACATCATTTATTGAAGCATTCTATTTATTCAAATTCCTGTATCTTCTATACTAGCATTGAATTCTAGCTGTTGCTAGTTCTTATCTACTAATACTGCCTGTAATTATAATATGATTTAATACGATTACAGAGACATCAATGTTTTTATTTGGTGTTTACATTCTTACTTATACGAAGACACACTGTAAAATTGTAATGTATTAACGAATAACAATTGAACAGAGTTGCTTCAAAGCATGCATGTATTATTAAATATAACAAATATTATTATTAAAAACTCACTCATCGCAGGTCTTGGAGGAGAAGGTGGCACTGCTGGTCTTGGTGGCAGATTGCTGCATGGCCGACCAATTTTTGAAGGTGGTCTTAATCCTGATGGTTTTGGCTCACCCATCTTATATATATTCACTTATTGTTATATAACTCTGAAACATGAAAATGAATGGTTAATGAAACTGACAAGAAATCATGCATAAACATTTATCAAATATTTGCAAATCAATTTAAACACATTATTATCAAAATAACGCGGATAACATAACGAATGTAATGTTTTGAAATACTTTAAGATCCGCGCAAATTTCTGCTATGCATAACTTGGTAAATAATCATAAATACAGCGACCATAATTCACGAACAAAATCATAATCATTCTAAAAATGATCAGTCATCAAATTTTCGATTTTCGATCGCGATTTTCATTAAAAAAATTAAAATAAAAAAATGATATCATCGTCCCATTCAATGTATCCAACGTGAAAAGTCGTTATGGCTTTTTGAATCGTTATCGAAACTCGAATCGCAGATACGCTTACGCAAACTACGCAGAAAGCATATTTATTGCTTGACATTCCTGGGGAATCGTGAGAAACGGTTTCCCTGGTTTCGTATTCGAAGATGAGATAGTTTGCGAAGCGAAAATTTCCGTTCGAAGCGGATATTATGACGTTAAAAAAAAATGTCAAACGCAAGAAAGGTTAACCTGCACGAGATCAACGATCACTTTACGAAAGGGAACCCACCAAGATGCTTACCTTATTTAAGCGTGACGTGATGCGAACACACACAATCAATTAACATATTTCATAGACAATTGTTGGAACATCACCCTGTCTCGACGAACCAGCACCGCGAAATATTTCGCACCGATTCGCACAACGGTTAACGGAAAAGTGACAACTCTTGGCGCCAGTAGCGCCGTCACGGTCTACTTGCGAGTTAACTCGTAATTTGCCGATTTTACCCTGGTTTCCCTGTTCCCTGACACGATTATTGCAATGATGGACTTTTCCCTTCCATTCCCCTTAATATTTCCAGCTAATTAAAGCCAAATTCGTTATCGTTAACGATACCAGTAAGACGATAATAACAGAAACAGTAATCAGTACAAAAACACGTTTGTTCGCTTAGCAAAAATGTATAGTAATAATGCGTCTTGCTCTATTTTTAGCTGCAAACATTTTTCGTATTACCATAATTTAAATAACTTCAAGAGGTCACTTTTATTTTTATGTACTCCGCAGCTGAAACACTGTTTGCCATCTGAATCAAGAACGGCCGATTAGATTGCGAATTTATCGAGTGAAATGTGTGAAAACGCAAACTTTGATGAAACGGAATCATTTAATAACGATTTCGTGGCATCCTTAATTTAGAAAACCCTGGTGTCGATAACGAAATCTATCAGGAAGTCTAATAATTGCATAAACATACAAGAATTCGTAGACAAATAATACAGAAAAACTTTTTACTTTCTTCTTGAAACTACGCCGATTGACTTTCAATAGAAAATACCTGTGACGCCATCTCTGCAAAGAATTTTCCAAACTGTTGCAAGTTTACCTGCAGAACATGCATTTTCTTTATCTACAGATATTAAGTGCGAACATTTTAAATTACATGAACTAATTATTGATTTTATCTTGTTCGTTATAAGCTCGCAAGAATGTTGAAAACCAACATTTTTGAATTTTCTTTATCGTATCAACCAACTGCAATTTTTGCAAAATTTTATTTAAAATTGTCTATTAAACCAGTCTCACTAGCGTCTGGAAAAAATGTAAGTCTATCTATCTATCTATCTAATAAATGTAATTCTATTTTAAATGGTGTAGGAATACATTTTGGAGTCACTGTACATTATTGTCATCTACGACGATTCAATTGCTACTCAAATAATTAAATAAGTCGCTCCCACGGCTAATTAATATACTTTCTCCATTGAATTGCGATTGCAGATCAGTTTCGCTTGAAATCTATTTAAAAAATTCCTCTTCTAATGTAGCCCCTCGATACAAACGAATACATTTCTCTTAGTGATCTTGTCAATGTTTACGTTTGTCTTCGCGTGAACTGTTGACATGGAAGGTAAAAAAGTTCAAATACGAATTTCACAGCAATCTCTAACCGTTTTCTTCAGTTGATGTCTGTCCACGATGGATACCAGCACGTGTTCGTTCGTTAGCCAAAGTGCTGCGCAATCCAGTGCACAAAGAAAGTTTTATCAGTGGGTGCTACGTTGGATAAACGGAGTACCACCGTCGGACACCGAATCGTACGGTAATACGAGGCTCGATTTACCTATTTTGGCCGGTTTCCTTCAAGGGATCGGCTTCAAGCTTCTTTTGATGGACAAAACCAACGACTCTGAAAGAAAAAATGGGGAAAATAATTTAACTTGTCAGCCTGGCATCCTGAAAGTTGCCATCGAGTGCGGCTCCTCCAAGATGAAAGCTGTTTTGGAATTGGATAACGTCACATGCCGATGTCCCCATTCTGATCACGTCAATGACGCGTCCTTTTGGAGCGTCAGTGGCACTGGACCCTCGGGAAGTACTGTATGTTACAATAGATTATACCTTTTAGTACTCGGCTCTTCGAGAGTAAACATTTTTATGCTGTACGAATCTTGATGAACAAAAAGACTTGCCAGTATTTTAATGTTGAACGCCGCTGATTAAATGTTCATTCCAGCGAATTGTTCTTCTGGATCACCGCCGAATTTGTTGCAGGACAATATCGCACGGAAAGTGGTGGAAACCGGCAGCAATCTGTTGCCCCGTCTGCCAAAAGACGTGACGCAAATCTTGCGAGACGTGTCGCAGAGATTGTTCGACACGATTTCCTACGAACCAGACGTGAACCGTAATACGGAAGTAAGTTTGAACATTCCTTGTTCGAACAACATATCTCTCGAAACGACAGTTTCGAACGGCAATTTGCGAGAAGAGATCGGCGTTTCGCGCAGTAACACAGCTCCGGAAATCTACTTATACGGATCAAATGTGAGTTCCGGAACAGAAGTTGTAAATTTTTCGAATTATAAAGTTGCGATCTGTTGCAGGGACCTCCTAAAAACAGTGTAGATCAAAATGCGTCTCCGCCTCTGTCGAAGCCCGTTTTGCAACGTCAAAGAACATGGGACATCGAAACCGAAAATGTGGAAGAGCCGCGGTCATCGTTGCCAACAATTATCACGAGTTCTCCAACCGTGCCGCACGATTTGTCCCAATCTTTGGGCCAGCTTTCCCTGCCCGGAGAAGAAGATTCGAAGAACCTGACTGAATATATCATCGGAGCTAAAGCCGAGTTAGACAAGGCTCTCAAGATGCTGGCCAGGAAGTCGTTTGTCTTGAATGACGCCTCTCTTAATCAAGGTCATTATTCGGTAGCCTTTGCGTTTGGCAAACTTTCTGAACAGCTGGAGAGTGATTTTAAATGTTCTTTCAGCAGATGACACCTCATCCGTGAAATCGGCACCAGCAAAAATTTCACAGGTTCCGAGCATTACTCCACTGAAGAAGGCGCGAATGAGCGCGGTCAGCAGTGTGAAGCCATTGTCAAGTTTGAGTCGTTTTACGAAAGAGACGCAGGCATTAGTGAGACCGGCTCCGAGGAACGTATTGCTAACACCAAGGTCACCGCGGACACAGAGAATCAGCGATCCGATTCCTCCTTCGGCGACGAAAAGAAGTATCCAAATGGAACAGGAAAATGCAAAGTCGCAATACCGTCGTCGTAGCTTCTATCTTCCGTCGTCGCATATAGGGCTGTCTTTGCCGTCAAAACCCATCGACATCGGACAGAAGTACAATACGAATAAACTTACTCTTGCGGCTGAACCGAACTCGTTAAATAGGTATGCTGTTAGTTGATTCGATGAATTGAAATTCTGAATTGTGACGAGAATAGAGACGGTGCTGATTTGATATTTCAGGCCCCGTACGATACCAAAAAGTCCGTCGAAAACTCGGATCGCTACACCGAAAAAGTTTGGAGCGTTAAGTACACCGACTGGACGGACATCGATGCTGAAGCAACCCACGAAAGTTTTACAGGCGACGAAATCTGTCATTGCAAAGCCGGTTACATTACCTGAGAATTTAAAACGCAGCAATGCAAAAGAATGAGCCAGTTTTTATTTATATTATCAGCGTGAATTTTAATTTGTATCATATTGGATATGGGCTAGAAGTTAATTAGAAGCGATTTCAAGAACGTAATTTTTTATTTAAACGATTTTTAATGAAGAGTTGCCCAAACGATCAAGTGCCAGATTATTTGAACATTTAAGTCGATGTATTGGTAACGAGAGTGAAGATGTAATGCGTATTATTCAAGTTTTGTTTGAACGACTTTTAAATATTTGAGAAACGAATTTTATCAGCAGTGGTAAAGTAGATATTTTACTTAGAATAGCGAGGTCGTGTCATCTGTATTAGAACTCTTGTATTATTTGATACCGCTAAACTGTTCATCAGAAGAGGGCGCTGACTTCGAACACTAAATTTCATAAGGTGGCATGTCTCCTATATCTAATCTATGTCGTAAAAATTCAAATCAGTGATCAAGAATTCTAAAGAATAATCGCCAGAGGTAAAATAGTCAGCATTCGTTAGAACCAATATAATAACTGTGATCATAGACTGAATGAGAAATATAGAACTTGCGTAATTCGATTGATTTTCGCTGAAAATGACGATATCTCCAGGGACCGTAGTGTATATGAGTTTCATTTTTAAAGTTGCGCACAATATAATGTATTAATTTACTGTTGTAGATATTTATTTTCTGCAACAAGAACAATTTTATTTAACAAATAAGTAAGATTATAAGAAAGTGTAAACATCGATTTTAATTCCTGCCCCATAAGGCTTTTCATTGCAATCATCTTAAAGCTATTTCTAACATTTCATTTACATCGACTATTTTTTCCCTTGGCTTTCCCAATTCTTTTCCTCTCTCACACTCCACTTCGTCGATTTTTTTCCAGTCGTTATACGACACCGAACATATATTTTTTTGTTCAAGAATTTGGCGCAAGCCTACTGATCCAGCTTTGTTTCCTGCAGCTGAGAGCTCCTTGTTTATTAATCCACCGACATAGAACGCATTCGTCATCGTCGATAATATCACGCCGACAGGACCTGTTGCAACCCAGCCGGCTGCGTAAATATTATCTGCAACTTTGCCTGCTGCATTTTTGACGCGACCATTCTTGGTATCGAACGGTAGCGATACATCGATAGAGATTGATTTATATCCGATACTACGGAACGCCAAACCGCATGGAATCTCTTCAACTGATTTGGTAGGTACTGCTATTTGTTTTTGCGGATCATTTCCTTCCAGTCTATTTATCGATAGCTTAACACTGCTGACACTGTTGGAGCCTAGAAATTCTATAGGACTTCTTAGAAATATGGGATGTAACTGCTTCATACTGAACGTTGTGTTCGCAGGTGTCTCTTCCAAGGATTTCAGCATGAGTTCCGTCAGTCTTTTGCGTGGCCTTGCCAAACTGCCAACTGTGTCCTTTACACCTTCAAAGTCAGTCGAACGCCAGTAAGTTTTACAACCATCTAATTTGATTATTTCGCGTAATTCTGCTATTGTAAAAGCAGCTTGCAATGGCCCCCTTCTTCCAACCAACGAAACTTTGCGTACTTTGCTTCTCAATAGCTGTTCCAAGGCGAATGACGTTATATCGGTATTCTGAAACAGCAGAAATATATTTAAATTAGAGAAGCGCAGTTATAGAGACACCTTTACTGATTTTATATGTACCTTTAATTTGTCCACTGGTGTTAACAAAATTCTTGCAATATCTATGGCGACATTGCCTTGGCCCAGAACAACTGCTTCTTCTACATCCAAATTCAGTTTCAAATTGCTATCTGCTGGTACTCCATTATACCAACCGACAAATCGTCGACCTGATATTACATTATCCAAATTTTCACCAGGTATATTGAACTCTTTATCCTCTTCTGCGCCGTATGTCTACAACAATGTGATATTAAATACTCAGTTTTAAAGTTGAGCAAATGTAAATGCTCTTCCGTGATACATACCAACAAAACAGCATGATAAATTTCTTGTAATTGCTTCATACTAACATCTTTTCCTATGTTAACGTTTCCCATAAATTGAAAACGCGGATTAGATGCTGTTTTTTCGAAAGTATGAATAACATTCTTAACTTCTGGATGATCTGGAGCTACTCCAAAACGTACCAAACCATATGGTACTGGTAATTTTTCCAATACATCTACATGTACATTACTGGAAGTCTACAGGAATTCATTCCATTAGGTGTGCTTTATATTTATATCAAATCTTGTACATACCTTTAACAATTGCTGTGCAGCATAAAAACCTGCAGGTCCTGCACCCACGATACAAACTTTTGGTACAACGTTTTCAGTTGAAAATAACCGGAGGCAACTGCCAATAGTAGAAGTTTTCATGACAGTAGTTTACATTGATCTAAAAAGATCACTGATCTTAAAAATTGCACTGTTTTATTATGTTCTGCTTGTACATATAAAAGCATAAAGTCTTCAAAAAGGAGGCAACCAAAAACTATTTCTTTTGAACATATTATGACAACAAAAGTTCAAGAAAAAGAATACACCAGTTACGAGTGAAAATTATTTATTGTATCAAAAGTATTGATACAACTTTGGCATTTATATATCGTAGAACTGCTGCGGCTTATTTTCTTATAGAATACACCAGTTACGAGTGAAAATTATTATTTATTGTATCAAAAGTATTGATACAACTTTGGCATTTATATATTGTAGAACTGCTGCGGCTTATTTTCCTATAGAATACACCAGTTANTTCATTCCATTAGGTGTGCTTTATATTTATATCAAATCTTGTACATACCTTTAACAATTGCTGTGCAGCATAAAAACCTGCAGGTCCTGCACCCACGATACAAACTTTTGGTACAACGTTTTCAGTTGAAAATAACCGGAGGCAACTGCCAATAGTAGAAGTTTTCATGACAGTAGTTTACATTGATCTAAAAAGATCACTGATCTTAAAAATTGCACTGTTTTATTATGTTCTGCTTGTACATATAAAAGCATAAAGTCTTCAAAAAGGAGGCAACCAAAAACTATTTCTTTTGAACATATTATGACAACAAAAGTTCAAGAAAAAGAATACACCAGTTACGAGTGAAAATTATTTATTGTATCAAAAGTATTGATACAACTTTGGCATTTATATATTGTAGAACTGCTGCGGCTTATTTTCCTATAGAATACACCAGTTATGAGTGTAAATTATTATTTATTGTATCAAAAGTATTGATACCACTTTGGCATTTATATATTGCAGAACTGCTACAGCTTACTTTCCTTCTTTAATATGTTTCTCTAATGTAGTGAAAACATAATGAATGTATGATTTGATAATCCAATGATTAGTATTCACAATTGGGTAGAGAAGGTCACATTCTAGAAAGAAGAAAGAATACGATAGAAACATAGTGTACAGCATATACATGTGACTGGAATACACTAATAATTTCTTACCATATAGAATTGTTGCAGGAATTATTTGCAAAACAGCTCTTTCTGTTTGTTGAATATTAGAAGAGATATTTTTGATATCAGTGAAATTTTTCAGTATTTCCTTGTCACAGCGATAATTTTTTAATATAATCATTGAGCCAATATCAGTAGAATGTTGAATTATGAGTGAATCAAAAGTACAACTTAAGAGATAGAGAAGCCCGACATTGAGGCAAGTAAGCAATGAATAACCAACTAACACTAAAATATCTCCAGTATCAAGACTGTGTACTGTTTCACAAATGTTAACAATTATTCTGTGGCTGTCATAAATATCTGTATATTGGAATGTTATAATTTTACGTCCTCTTTTACTGAGTATCTCTTTTTTCAACCTAGTAACTTTTTTAATGTGCGGATATTCTATTTTATGTCCCATGCTGACAAGAATATCATCCATTTTCGTTTTTATTCTAAGAATACCATCATGACATAATCTTGAGGACAATACCGTATGAAAGGCTTTTCCCAAAGAAATTTGTAAATCTCCTGGCAATTTATTGACAGTGAGCTACAAAGAAAATGGTTATTTTAGTTTCTAGTGTAATGAAATTTTAAGTTTAGTTAAAATAAAAACATCTTACTTCTACAGTTTTATCTGAAGGATATTCAATCTCTAATTTATTAGTGTCATCATAAAGAGCTTTTAATTGATCCCATGGTGCTAAATGATGTCGTTCATAACGTTCATTGTAAGATCCAAGTATCATTCTTACAATTTTAACACCATTAGATGCTGTCAGTTTTGCATTTCCCACAATCTCTCCCAACATCAATTTTCTTACATTATAATCTGTGATATACTTTGCAACAACTTGATATTGAATTTGCTTCATATCATTAAGCATTTTAGTATTATCAGACTTAAATGTAATAATATTATTCATTATGACCAGACTTTGGTGACACTTGAAAAATTTACTACACTCTATAATCCTTGATATAAATGAACATGGAATATCGTCCTTATTAAACATAGCTTTTTCAGAGCCACATTCATAGTATTTTGTAAACTCCTTCAGGAATGGCAACACATGTGACTGCCCCTTAAAATTTGTGCAAACAATATAACTTTCAGAATTTCCTTCTTTACTTGTTGCTGGCTTGACTACGCTAACTTCATTGAAACAGCAACACAGGAAATACATCAAGCAGATTGAATGGCATTCGAAAGTTGTGAAAATTTTCAACAAAAAACTACCCCCAGTTTGTAAAAGGTGTAGAGCAGCTACAGTTTCACAGAAGTGTAAATGTGCTACTATGTTCTCTTGTTCCCCTGGATCATCCGTACAATCTATACTGCCGTCAGCAGTGACTAGAAATACATTGTTACAAGGCTCTGACATTTTTATGAGTTCATTCAAATTTTCAATGCTCATGAGGTCCCCTGTATTATCCTCACCAAAGCACCAATGATCTAACGTATGCTTTATGAATCTATCATCGCCAACCATTTTATACGGGGAATAGCCTTCGTAATATGGATTTAATGTCGTAGCGATCCAATCCCATTGAATCTCAGATACATTTGTTTTTAACCAGTGATTTAAAGATGTTATAAATGCTCCAGGTGCTTCGCACAAATGGACAGACTTAAAGCATTTGCTATTATTATTAATGCAAGTTACTGGTACTAGAGGGAAGGATGACACTATTTCATAGAACTTACACCATGCCTGAGTCAAAAATTCTGGCTTAATGTACTTTCTCAAATATGGCATAACATTCTTTGCACTGTTTCTATTTCTCGTATGTATTTGCCATTCCTCGAGCTTGTAACTATTTAAAGAACTTTTTATGTCATTTAATTCTTTCTTTAATGTTTGCAACTGTTCAATTTCCCACACAGGACACTTAAACACTGACTGTGGATCAGGTAACGGATAACACTCATTATCGGTGATTAAGAAACGTTTGTCAAATAAATTATTTACATGTTCCTTAGTACTTAATTTTTTAAAATGTAATAAATTCGTGGTTGATGTTTGTTCTTTAGTTTTCAAAGGATTTTGTGTCTCCATTGTCCCTCTCGAGTCACTTGTTTATTCTAACTTTGAGTTAAAGCAAGTGTTATCAATTAATTAAAAGTTTATAAGTATCGCAGTCTCCTTTTTAAAATAGGAAATGTTTTAAGGTTAAGGTTATTTTATCTCTGTATTCTACTGTTTGGCTGACTCCTTTCTCTTTACATATTTACACGATTATACCTCACCTCCTTGCAAGAGAAAACTAGAAATACAGTAAAATCTCCCTATCTGTTGCTGGGACCGAATTTTAAAGAGTCGAGAGTAGTACGCAGATATCGATTTCTTCAAGCCTCGCGGTCCGCCTTTATTGTGCTGACACCTCGTGAGACGGAGAGAGATAATACGAAACTTGAGTCGAGCGAAGCTATGTGTATACTATGTATGTATGTATGTACATAGTACTGTCAGTGATGTACCATATCTGATAACATCACTGATATGTACAGATGACTGTATAGATGAAGTCAGGTTGTAATTTTTATAGCCTCAGAATACGATGATGGCGGTTTTAAATAGCAAGTCCAACAGGTATTTTATCGCGCGTGATTCAAATCATAGAGTTTCTGATTAGTACAATTTTCTGCTTTATTTTTTGTTCATACTTGCGTTTATTTCTGCTGTTACACATTAATTGTCAAGATTAAATACACTTTCTCTCTCCAATTACATATTCGAGTAGTATATACTTTCTCATAGGAGATTCTCTTCCTAAGTTGCTATACTCTATGCCCGATTCAAATAATAGCGCGCGAAGTATTTGGAATAAAAAATTCTACAGTCACCGAATTAATAGAGAAGTGAAACAACTAAGTTCGTGGAAGAATTACAAACATATATGTTATTAATGGTCGTTTATTTTTATAATATTTATTTACATAGACGTCTATATATCATAGTAATTTGGTCTAGAATTGTGATCATGAACGATGATATCGGTTAAAAAAATAATCATGGGATAATCTTCCGTCGATTTCACGCGTTACAACAGTAAAAGACTATTTACAATCTCGCTGAATAATAATTCGTTGTTTAGTTCAAAGGTTCCATATTCTCAATATTCTTAGTCCGATAATAAAACAAGTAATCCATAACTTACTAAGCTAAATTAAATTATCTTAAATCGGCAACCATCCACGTGTTTCGCCTTTCGACGAGATTTTTCTTCATCCCTATTTTACCTGCTCCTCCAAATCTTTGCCCTCGAAGATCGGCGATTTCCAATGATCCTAAAATCTCTCTGTCAATGATCCTCGAAATAATCGCCGACTTCTCACTTCTTCCTGTATCCCAGTTTACGTAGAGCCTTCAGATCCACGTCGCCGTAGTACTTCTCGCTGTTCAATCAATTCAAACGAATTATTCACCAAAATAGAAAAAAGCTCGCGAACCCCGCCGATCAAAAAAAAAGGTAACAAAATCGTTGCGGTTAGACAGGCGAGCACGCACGTAAAAGACGCTTTTACAACGATTAGCAATGCAAGTTATCCCATGCAGTGAAGTGAAACTCCGGTGGCACGCTCCAATTTCTCCGCGGAAAATACACAAAGGAAAGAGTAGAGAAGCGGCGAACGTGCGTTACATTGTCCGTGGAGCGTCATGCAATTAGGTCACACGATCGAATTAGAAACGTGGCTGAAGGGACTGAGTGAGGGGCTGAAAACACAGACTAAGTCTCACGAATGTTTTTCCATTTATTATACGAATCTTTCACATTACTTACAAATACACGGATGAGTCTAGCTTAACGCAAGCTTATGCTCGACCGAGGCCAAGAGTGCGTGGGTGGCAGCCTCGGATCGCGAGAATCTCGATCCACCTCCGCGACCGCGATTTTTCCCTCGGATCGAACGTCTCACGGCAACGAACGGTACGGCGAAAAATCGAGGGTGAGACAATAGAATGGTAGAAATCGATGAGAAGACGCGATCGCGAATTTTCCTCGCGTAATCGAATATCGAGCGCGGATCGTTCCGAATAACTCCCTCCGTAGGTCTCGATCGCTCGCCCGAGCTCCGACGAGCTACGGTCAGTCTCTTGATAATTTCACGCGCGTGCCGCTCTCCACTAACTAATTAGATAATTAAACAGGTCGAAAACGGAGCCGGGCGCGTCGAGACTACTCGCGTTGGTGTGTCGGGAGGATCTCGTGAAATTTCCAAGAATACAATCTATCTCTACGAATTTCTCTCGGTTGCCGTTCCCAGGGTTCCAAGATCTTTCCCTAGCAATTTCGACGGGAAGCTACGAGAATAGGAGGCGGTCACTCTTGGCTCCCGGTGTAACATAGACGTTTACCTGTAATCACGAGAGCGGCCCCTCCGAGTCGAATTGAACGACTCCAGCTAAGCTTTGATAGCGATCGTTGCGAACGACGCTTTCGATTCTCGCGATCGGGGTCGCTTCTCATAATCACCAGCACGTATCGCCGAGGTATCGAACACCTGGGCTCTTCGCTCGAGATTGTATGAGTACGTTCGTGTCTGTGTGCGTGTGTGTGTGCGCGTGTACGTAGATGTGTGTGACAGGAGGAAATAGAGAGAAATAGAGAGAGAGAGTGAAGAGAGCGCGCGCGAGAGAGAGAGAGCGTTTCGTGAAGAGGGATGGAGAGATGGGGAACAGAGGGGGATGAGAAGACGCGAGATTGGAGGAGACATAGTAGGGGAGGTTAGAGATTATTCCTGGAGGGGTGCGTTGGGCCTCGCAGGTGCCGACGGGGGCCTCGGTTTCCCTTGACCTTGGGGCTTCCTGGTCTCGCCCGAATTCTGAATTCCCGCAAGCAGCTCGCTCTTCCTGATGCTCTTCAGGTCCAGGTCACCGTAGTAATCCTCACTGCGAAGCAAAACCGGGAAAAATCCGGGTTAGGACATGCGTGACGTGTGCCACCTCCGGTAAGTGCGTTTCGTGTTCGAAGTTAATCACGTTCACACCCTTGATGGAAGGATCGGTCGTTCGATTACGACGCGGAAACTCGAAGTGTTCCGGAAAATTTCGGGTTCAGACCCGGCTCGTCCCGACCCGATCCGACAGCTCATCTCTCGATTTTGCGGAACGATGTAGGTTACTATTACACTGTAGAGTACTAGAGCAGGTTACTGTGGCGTGTCCAATTGCTGTGTGTTTTGGTTTGTTCCCAGGCATAATTAACTTGGTATTTATCGAATAAGACATTTTAAATCTTTTCATCATTTTATTTTGTTTATTTTAGAACAACGCATATTCAATTCTTTTGTTCTTTTATTTTGTTTATTTTTGGATAAGACATATTGAATTTTTTTATTCTTCCGTTTTATTTATTTTAAAATAAGATTATATTAAATCTTTTTGTTCTTTCATGTTATTCGTTTTGAATAAAAAATGTGATATATCATATTCGATAAATATAAAGTGTATTATGCCCAGGAAATTTTATAATGCTATTGTTTGTCTATTGTTACGTAAATCACGAGGTCGTCGTTACGCATGTGTGACGGTGGTAGGTGAACGTATCGAACTGATTTTTATATAATAGAAACTACAATTTGTATTGTAGACATTAATTTCAAGTGTACATCGTTTCGCTTCCATCAAGAGTAATAAATGAGGGACACCACATACAGAGTCGTTTTTAGCATATCTCAGACATACATTCTGTAGACAAGGTTAGACATTTTTGTTGTTAAGTAACATTAGATACAATGATTGGAGTAAATTGTGGAATGAAGATAGGTGCTAAGTCGTTTTTACAAAAGTGATGTTGTCTCCCTATCGGTATACCCTTTGGTGTCGTTCAGTAGATCATCATCAAAATCAAAAAGGACAAAGTTATCAACGATGCCTTGGTGTGAACGGTAATTCAGAAACTAGTTTAAGAGAGAAACAGCGTTGCAAAAACCTCCTCGCAATATTAATAAAAGAGAAAAAGAATAAAATAAGTTAGTTATTTACTTTTTGATTAGGTGTTTAAGAGTTTTAAGAGTTTCTTTTAGCTTTCAAGAATTTACAGTATTTCTCGTTTGCCATCGAGAGAATAAAAGAAAGGAAAACATATTCGAATGTCATCCTCTACAAATTAGGGTCTCTCGTGAGGCAACAATTTGATAACTCGCAGGGGATTTTTTGTACCGCCTTTCGGCCATTTTTCGAGGCCAAATGCTTCGCTGTGCATCGGGCAGGTATCGGTGTAGCACCTTTCTAGACCGCGGAAAAGGTTAAATTGCGAAACGACGCGCGAATGGCTGTTCATTCGAGAACGAGGAAGCGGAGTGACCGTATACGCGATGAAAATAAAAGGGTCTCCGGGATTTTTCGAAAGCACGTTTCGCGTGCAAGCTTTCACACACGTTATTCCTGTCCTCGCGCCAGGGCATTATGTAAATATTGTGTTACCAACATTTGGACGGTGTTACGCAAAACCTATCGGCCCGGTATACGAGACAAGCCGGGCGCGCGCGCGCGCGCGTGCACACGTGTGTCGATGGAATATCCGTTTTAATTGCGTCACCCGAAAAAGAAGAAACACCTGACGGATTTCCAGCCGTGGTGGGCGCGTGTCGCCCGGTTTAAAATACTGTAATCAGCAGTCGGACTATATAATACCCGGTTTAGCCAGAATTCGACTTTACGTAACGTCTGGACGCGAAGTTTCTCGATATATTTCAATTCACGCCGCGCTACCCTCGCGCAGCCTCGTTAATTACAATTTAGAACCGGCGGGAACGCGACTAGGAAGTCTCCCGAGCTTTCTTTTTCTGGAAAACGGAGGTGGCCGCTTCTGGTTGCGGAGATGCGAGACAGATAGCAGTTACATTAATTCGCTAATGATAGTTCTCGATCATTTCTGCGGCTAATAGATTCCTGTATTGGAGATTCCAGCAGTGGCGTAAGTGATATTATCGAAAGTTTTGGCTTATGTCTTCAAACGTAATCTGTGCATGCCGAAATATTAAAAAGGCAAGTAAAATAAACCAGAGAGTTACTATAAATTAGCTTAACTCTATATTATTTCAACGATAAATTTGGCCAGCGAACAATAGACATGATAGAAAACGATAATGTTCCCGGTTTCTTTACAATGAGAAAAATGGGACTTACGCCACCATGATTCTAACCGAATCAATTGAAAATTTCAACAGTTTCATCCAAGCTCTGTTCATTATTAATCAAACTTTAAATTAAAGAAGAAGATTTTCTAGAAGAAAATCAAACAAGTTAGTTAAAAGGTTCGACTGATTTTCAAGGGTTGTTTTCACCCCGAAGAGATGCCAGGAAAGTCGACAGCTCTCCGAGGACTCCTCAGGTACCTGGAAAGTCTGGCAGACGGCACGATTGCCGTCGCTGAAGTTTGTAAGATCAGTGAAAAGGACACTCACCATCCGGGAACGTCCTCAGGGTCTTCGCAGGCGCCGCTGCCGTCGGCGTCGCCGATCTTGAAGACAGTGCCGATCGGGCAGCCGTACTCTCTGGCGATGCCTTCCAGGCAAATGTAATACTTTCTGCAGTCCTCGGGATGGGCGTGTCTGCTAAAACTGCCGGATGCTCCGCTCACTTCGCCGGCGGCAGGACACGTGAAACCTCCCGCGACCTCTGCGCAATGCGATCAAACAGACACCATCAGATCCAGGGAGAAGATAGAGAAAGAGAGAAACCACCTCGCGACCGAGGCTGGTGAATGGGAAATATCGGGGCTCGCCTTTGAATTCCATCTGGCGAGAATTCCACGGGAAAGCAGGGAACGAAAACCATTTATGTTAACACCGAACCACTGCCGGTCAAATAATCGGTTCCATGTTTTTCATGTTACAGTTATTGAAGTCGTAAAGCTGCTTCCATTAGAACTTTCTCTATTCGCGCCGTTATAGCAATTGTGAATAATTTAAATAATTGCGAATTCAAATAAATTCAGTCTTGCAGTTTTTATATGGCAACACATGTCAGCCATTTTTAGACTCCGGTACGTTTAGTGTGAAATTTTATTTGTAGGATCATTAGGCGATCATTAATCTATGTACAAAATAATCATTTCTTAGATAAAGTACAAGAGAGAGGAGTTAAAGAAAAATGTATTTCTTCTTTTGGGCATAAAATCCGCAGTCTAATAACCATCGAACATGCGAGTCTAATCTGTAAATTAAAAGTTGCGATTGAACTTTGTCAGTGTTGACGAATCGTTGGATTCTTGGACTGTCAGTTGAGAAGCAAGTTTTGAGAATTTTTTCAAACGATAATATTAATGGTAACATTTTGAAACTTCGTGACGGAGTTCGAGGATGCTTGAAGAACATACACGATTTGTTTGAACACGATTTCTTGACTAAATTAAAATCTGCGATTAAACCTTGTCGATGTTAGCGAATTGACGAATTCCTATATTATCAGTCAAAAATCAAACTCTAAGAATTTTTTTAAGCGGAACTAATCGTGATAACAATTTGAAACATCGTGACTGGGTTTGTAGATGTTTGAAGGCCACGCTTGATTTCTTTTTCAAGCAGCATTAAGCACCTTGGAGTTTGCATTTTCACAGAAAAGAAATTGCATAAGAATGCATACTTGGTTCGAACGCATCATCGACTCATTTGAACGTCTCCATTGTCGAAATGGTTGAGACACGTTCGAAACTGTTTCGACAATTCGCAGTGCATCTCTCGGAGGATGTTGAGAGGTCTGAGAAAATGAGAGGCGTGGCGCGAGACTCCCCGCGATTGTCCGACAGTGGAAGTCGGTGAATGGTAATATCAGGGTTCGCCTTTGAATTCTATCGGGCGAAGATTCCGCGTGATGAAACGCACAGGATGTGCGTGGGGGCTATTGTCACGTTCGTCGATCGAACGCGGACTGACATAATGAGCGAGATCGTTGCAAGATGGCGTACCAAGTGCCGCCATTGCACTCGACCAGAACACTGTTCGCCACGAGAAATGGGCCGCTTACTTCCCAGTGACGTAATTTCATTCATTTCACGAAATTCGGAGTTTCGCTGCCACCGCAAATTGTTGCGGTAAGACGTCAATGATTAGTATAGTGGACGTTTTACGAACTTCGCTGAAGAGAAAATTAAGCGGGCTTAAATGACAGAGATAATGAAAATGACGAAGATAATGAAAATTATGCAGATAATCAAGATTATATAGATAATCAAATTTATACAGTTAATCAAAATTATACGGATGATTAAAATTGTAAATATAATCAAAAGTATACAAATAATCAAATTCGAACATATTTAATAACGCAATAATTTAGAAGAGTTGCATTTTGAGAAATTAGGCAACTTTTTAATGAGAATTTAGAATATTTTGGGCGTTTTTCGAAAATTGACGATCAACGTATGCCAGCTTCTATGGCCAAACAGATCCAGGAGTTTAAGTAGATCTGTTCTCTCATGGTCAGACAGATACGAAGTTACCCAAAGATACCTAACCACTCTATTCGTATCGCCATGCTATCACGAGGAATGATTGGCGCGCATTAATAAATCGCTCGCAACGAGAAGACACTGCAATAATCGAAGAGAAAACATGAAAGTCCTGAAAAAGAACTGGTTCACTGGTAATCGGTCGGACTTCTTTCAGAATTTTTTTCGAACGATGATCATCCACGCTACAGCAAATGCAAGACAGTAGAAGAAACTCGAAAGTCACGGAGTACTGATTTCACTTCGATTATGCGCGTTTGATATTTCCTTGTTCCATCTTGCGAACTTCGAGTCCAGTTAGCACAAACTTGATAGAATTTTTTTTTTACCAAACAAAATAGTTTTATCGCTGCCAATTGGAAGCGTGAGATGTCACGATGATGCAAACTTCCAAGAACCGAACTCTCGCAGTCAAACCTGGATAAACATATTTCAATTAAGAGATACGAATACTTGAGAACACCTATTAAATGAAATACCAGTTGAAATACTTAATTTATTTCACAAATTGCGTAATAAGTATTTAAAAAATATATTATTAATATTATATTATTTCCATATAATATTATTAATATTATATTATTTCCATAGTACACCTTAAGAAGACTCTGCACCAATTAATAATTTTTTTTATCGCAACATAAAAATAACTTTTCAATACATACTCTCTATGACGTTAATTAAATCTCGAAATAATATTTCACTTAAACAAAAGTATTTCATTAACTATCTCCAATAAATACCTTTCCAAATATTTTTACCCAGGTCTGCTCTGACAGTTCATAAAGACATCGAAATAATATTCTGAAATCAATTGTTACAAAAAAGAAAAGATACTCTCGAGAGATCAGTGATTTTTCTCATCATTTCTTCACTGCTTGAATATTTCATACTTAAATATATAAATATTTTCACTGAAAAGAAATTGCTATTACGATAGAAACTGGCTGTGTATTTAAGGAGCAAGCAAGATTAGCATCCGAGAGAATCAAGGATATCCGGACCTACCTTCGTTCTTGCATTCGGGCACCTGGTCAGCCCACATGCATACTCTGGCCTCGCGGTCGTAGGCTAGTCCAGGGCTGCATTGGTACCTGGATGCTTCTCCGTTCCAGCAGTTCCAGAACACGTCGCATTTCTTATCGTCGGCGAAGATGCCGTACAATCGCGGACAATGGGGCGTGCTGATCGCCGGCTCGAGCTGCGTCCTTTCACCGCAGTCAACGTTGTGGAGGTAGTCGCAGTTTTCGGTGAGGAACTTGCTGTCGCTGGCGTCGAACGCGAGCCCGTTGCCGCAGGTTTTCAGCTCGGCTGCGTTATTGTCGCACTTCCAATATTTGTCGCAGGATATGTGATGAGGGTAGAACCCGAAGTCGTCGGGGCATTTGAAGTTCTCCTGGCCATTCGCGCCTGTCGACCATAAATAGAAACATTTATAGACAATTTAGACACCATATATAAGGCGGAGAATTTGGAAAGGAGATTTGGTCCTACTTTAGTTTGAGAATTTTTTGGAAAGCAATATTGGATCTGGTTGTGGCTGAGAATTTTTTTTGGAAAGGAGTTTGATTCTGGCTGTGGTTGAGAATTTTTCGGGAAGGAAATTTTAGTCTTAACCGAGACTAAGAATTTTTTGGGAAGGAATTTTGGTTCTATTTGAGGCTACGAACTTTTTTGGAAAGGTATTTTGGTCCTAGTCGAGGCTGAGAAATTTTTGAAGAAATTTGGATTCTAGACACAAAGTTGAGAATCTATTGAAAGTAGTTTTAGTTCTAGCCGAGGCTAAGAATTTTTTGGAAGAGATCTTCGCATAATAAGGAAACTCGAAAACCAGCTTTCCATTATTCTATATTGCCGATCAACAAAGCGTGCTGCATTTGCTGCTCTGAAGCAGCCTGAATTGATAGGCATCCGATTCACTGGCTCGAGACTCCAAACCACCCTATCCCATAAATTAGTTACGGCACACTGATCACGGCGCAAACGTTAACATAACATACGATAAGCAAGAAAGTTCAATGTTATCGTAAACAAGATATCTACGCCGTCGCATTCCATCATATTTTTAGACTTTCCAAAATGGAACGACTTCTTCTCCGATAGAACGGAGTCACGTTTCCTATAAATAACACTGTATCGAACTTCCTGTGTCGTGTTGTACAATCGCGTTCGCTGCGTAACAATGACTGCAAAAACAGACGTGACATGTCCGTAAGAAACGATTATTAAGAAAGTTCTGATACGTCTGATAAAGACTTTATTACTGTGCAATGGATAAGAAAGTTTATTGAACCGCGATGCAAGAGGGAGGGTAAAACATAGTTCACTTTCGATCGTGCCCGTTTGGTTTCCACGTGGGCAGCAAACGCTTGAAATATTTTCTATAAATGCATTTCCGGAGTATTAACAATTGCAACACCACATACACGATTGTTAACATTAAACCTACCACCTCCTGTTATCACTAATTATTGAAATTATAAAGCTGTTTTCATTGGGAACTGTTGAATATATTTCTTGATTCCGGCACAAATTGTTACAAAATTTTTGAACAATTTAACACTAAACCTATCACGATCAAATTTTAATATTATTTTCTCATTTTAATATTATAAAAATCATTAAGACATTTTCATGGGAAATTATTGCATAAATTACATTATTGGAACAGCTACTATAACAAAAACTGTACAAAATCTAAATAAATTGAATGTCCTCACTCTTATCAGATAATGCACATTAACCAGCGTTACTGTTCGATAGGTTTAGTATTAAATAAATTCAATCTGATAATTTTTGTAAGGCAACGCGTATCATATTTAGACCTCGGTACGTTTAGTGTCGAACAGAAAACATATTTATGCACATGCAATATTAATGATGCACTAATCAGAGAAGATAATTACATTCTGATTTGATGTGTATCTTGATGTGTAACAGAAAACGAGAACTGGAAGGAAGCAATTAAAGAACATCGTCGAACAAAGAAGTCGCGACGATCATGGAAAGAATCGATTTAAGTGTTGCACGAATTTCTGCTAATTAGACAGTCGCTGGAATCGAAAGTGGAGGGAGGAAGCTTTTTTATTGCGGTCAGGATTTCAAAGATATCTGCTCGGAAACGATTTATTACTTTAATGAGGGATAAATTGAATTACGTGTTCCATCGTTGGATTGATCTAATCGTGGCCAGATTCTCTCCGGTAGGCGAAGTAATCCGCAGATAAAAGTGTGTTCTGCGGTCACGCCCGGTGCAACATTTAATCGTGCCAGGGATCGCAGTGATCGAGTACAATTTTACTTGTTCCGCGAACATTATCTGCTGAGAAGAATTGCGCAATAAAATAGATTCTCGCTCGCGAGATGATTGGACACTGTTCGTCAAGATTTTATTCGACCAAGAACAACCTGAATCGGATCTCCATCCATCATATTTTCGGAGACACCGTTGCAACGAGACTCGTTCACTAACACATTTTCGCGGCGGAGAAATTCGCGCGGAACAAAAAACAGCGGTTCAATGGACGTATTAAACGTTCCTGAGCGAGGGTAAAATTACAGGCACTTGGAACGAAGTTAATTGAAGTGCTTGCAAATGGTACGACATGTTCGTAGCGTTATTACTTCGGATCATTCGCCGGTAGGTATTCGCTCCGTTCCGCGACTCGCGGCGAAACAGGAAATAATCCGAATACCATCGACTCTTACTTTCATCCGAGAATATTGTTTTCGCTGCGGCTCTAGATTGCACGTTGTCTGTCGAGTGTTCTGCAACTATTTAGCCTTCCGATCGGCCGGAGCTATTTCTATCTTGGCGTTGCATAAACAGAAGTCGATCATTTGAAATCAATATGTTGGGGAAACTGGAATTAATAGCTCCGCAAAGATGATGATATTTACTCGAGTACTTGAGTATTCGTTAATATTGTTTTCTGGATTTACTGTGACGCTTAATTTAACGCTAAACTAACCACCGAGCTAGCTCAAGTGACCGGTTACGAATACTTTGTCTTAAAATTGCTGAAATTGCAAATAGAATCTCTTTAATAAAAAATCGATTCACTAAATTTTTGGATCGAAACATACGTTATAAATGGCGTCATAAACAAGTAATAAAAATGGCGAAAGGTCTAAATAAATGCAGTCTTTTCATCGTTGTAAAGCAACATATGCTAGTAACTTTTAGGGCTCCGTAGGTTCAGTGTTAACCCCTTGTGCTGCAACAACGAGTTCATACATAATCTATTAAATACAAATATTATTCATTTCGTCTGAATCAAAATAAAATTTGATTCGTCTGTTATCGAAACCAAGGTAAAAAATAGCTGATCAAGCTGGCTGCGAAAGAAACAGTGCAAGGGGTTAGTCTATAAGAACAATAGCTTCATTAAAATTCATCGGAAAGATACGATGATTTTACGAATACTCGGATACCCCGATACTCGACGTGTTCCCTGAAATAAGTACTTTCGTCGAAACACGGTCGAGTTACCGAGATCCATAAAACACTCGAGTATTCTTCCAAGCATGTTTGCATTTACATAATTCCGCGGAATCGGCAACAAGATGGTATCGTTACGTAGAAACACGTCGGTTCGCAGGCAAATGACCGCATCGTGGAAAATGAAGAATACCCGAGCAAATACGAAATTAGATGATCGCGGCAGAAAGGCCCGAAGCGTTTCATTATCGACAAGTCGACCCCGTCCGCTGTCGCGCATTGTCCCGCGAACTGGCAATTACGTCTAACAATCTGTTATTCTTTTTTCGCGGCGTATGATGTCTGAATAACCTAAACGTCTTATGTAAGGACACAAACTGACTTTCGCCAGGCGCTTTCACTTTGGGCCTAGAGCCAGGCCCGGCTACCAGCGGCGGCGGCAGCTGCAACACCAACACGGCTCGTGACTGGGAGAACCCAGCATCCCGTTCACTCAGCTCTCCTCAACACGTTTGCTCTTTCTCTCTCTTTCTCTCTCTCTCTTTTTCCCTTTCCATCGCTCTTTCTCGCTTTATCGTTCTCTCTCCGGCTGTCTCGCAAGACCACGCACGTACACGTTCGCCGGATCGTAATTTCGCATACGCGAGAGCAACCCTGTCGCGCCGTCGCCTCTGCGTGCTGTATTCACTTTCATTTTTCTCGGGATCGGTCCCGCCACCAAAACGTGCTCCTCCGGTCCCATAATAATCCCCTCCACGCCGCTGTTAGGCCAGCGATTCTTTGGACGAAACTCTTCCCGTGGAGCGCGAGATTTGTACGCTGTTTCGATACATTTTTCCTTCGATTGCTTTGGAAATCGTATTTTTGGATTTTTGTGATACTTTTAGCGGTTTGCGATTCGTTTATTCATTTTTGTCAAAGATTTGCGAAGTAAACGTTTTGGAAGCTTAATGCGAATGCGCTTGAAATGATGCATCAATGTTCTTGGATTTTTGTGATACTTTCAATGGTTTGCGTTCTATTTGTTCACTTTCGTTATGGATTTTTGAGATCATTCTTTCTTGGGTAGATTGCAGAATGCATGGTTTCACAATGATTTGTTTCGAATTTTAATACAATTTCGTTTGAAACAGTGCGCGAGAGTTCTCAAAATTTTTTCTGTTACTTTCATTGTTCTGGAGTTTCCATGCTCATTTTTCTGGTGGATTTCCAAAATCAAGGTTTTCCGGATAAATTGCAAGAGGCACAGATTCTGAACAATCTCTTTCGAATCTGAATGCAAATGCGATTAAAATAATGCATCGGTGTCCTTGGATTTTTCCGATACATTTACTGTTCTAACTTTCACATGTTCATTTTGATCAGGGATCTGTGAAATCAATGTATTATTGGAGGGATTGCAAGAAAAATGTAACGTGATTGTTGAAATGTTACATGATTTCCATGTAACTTTTAATTTGTGTCACGTCTGTTATTTTTCATAAAATCATAGTGCATTTCGTAGGATGTTGAAACGCGAGTTATACGCGACTAATAAAATGAAATATAAATCATGCTTCATTTGCAATCATGCTCGCTTCATTTCGATTTCAATACATCGAAGCTGTTCGAGAAGTAGCGTCCCGTTTACTTTCAGTTTCGTGGCGTCTGCCTATAAAACTGCGAATTTGCATACTGTTCCGCAGTCTATCCATAATAATGCATCGACTGATCCGCATGCTTGTGCGATAAGTATCTGTTTTTAATGAATCATCGAAAGCTAATGCTACGAGGAAAGTAGAGACAGTTTTGTTAGCATCATTAATCTTTGCTTTATTTTATTACCATTCTCACTGTTAATTTACATGAAATATAGCTTTCATGAAACATCTTTAGTTTATAACTATTCTCATTGTCGTCTTTCTTGAAATATTTCACGTTTCATTATCATTATTATTCTTTTATCTTTATTTTATTATTTTCATTTTATTATGTTTACTTTATCATCTTTATCTTTTTTATTCTCTTTATTACTTCATATGAAATACTTTTCCCAAAGTATAAACAATTAATCCACGGCAACCTTGGAAACGTAAGACCGAAGGATTCCAGAAGTATCTAGAATCAGAATATTTTCATTGTGTCTTGTAATCGTCGCAAGCACGATGCAATCTTCCCCCACCCTTTTAATTTGTTAGGGTTAAAACGTTCCATTACGGAATGTTCGAGCGAGCCGTAGAAATTTCGACGAACGAGCGTTCGAACGATGGTGGCCGGTGATAAAAAGAAGGGTCAAGATCTGGGCCAAGGTTATCCTGTCGCGACAAGGAAAGTCCGTGGAAGGGGGATGGAAAAGAATGCAAATGCAGGTCGGGAAGGTTTCTCTTCGCACGGAAACTGAATCCGCCTTTCGATCTCGTTTCAGCGCCGAGATCGCTCGCAGAAGCGACCAATAAAAAGCCTGGCTTCAATAATAGTTTTCAACGGGCCGCCGTAATGGCTGCTTTTACGCAGCCTAGATCCTTCTACCTACCTAACGGACGTCAACGCGCATGATCTCGCCCGTCGAGAACTTTTCTCGTACGGTCGTGCGATAAATGAAATTTTTTGTAACGAGTCTAGGATAATTGTGTTTTATCAATCACGTTAACCAGCTTTCACTGACTTTATGGCAGATAGATTGATCTACAGTATGGCGTGTCTGCTACCACCAGGTATCGCGCCTGGGATCTACGCTCCGACGAAACATTACCGAAAAATTAGATTAGAAATCGCACGATCGGTTATATCTTCCTCGTTAGTTCGCTGGAAAGCTTCTGGATGTATTCTGCGAAGATCCCTCGAGATTTCACTAAAATTTCAATTTCAGTAGAACGTAAGTCTTTCGAAACCGATTTATCTGAACAGGATGTTTCGAGACCACACACGCGAATCAAGATGCGAAACAACCTCTGTCTATTCTACTCGATCTACCGATTATCTTATCGGCTTGGCTAAATGGCAGTGTTGCAATTTTCAGCAAGAAACGTGACGTCTCTCGACAAGGTCTAGTTTGATCGGTAACGATCGATCAATTACAGTTTATCGACGCTAGTAGTGGACTCTCCAACGCGAGACTTTCTCAACATTCTCCAGATTCTTCTGTACCAAGTATAATCGCTAGACTGCGGATATTTAATCATTTCTTTTTTTGCGCGTCAGTTGCGGGGACCGGAAAGTTACACAGAAGTTAATTTCTCCTCTGAATTATTAATATCATTCATTATGTATATTATTAATATTATTTTTAATAATATTATTAATTATACATATTATATTATTAATATTATTATTAATTATATATATTATATTATTAATATTATTATTAATCATATATATTAATATAGTTACTAATTACATATATTACTATTATATATATTAATTAATATATAATAATATAACGAATTGTGACTTGAAAGCAACAGTATTCTCAAGTTCCGCCGAAGCTTCTACCATTCCGCATTTCGGCTACTTTTTTCTGCCACAAACGCGTAAAGTCCCGCAGCCTAATGATCGACGATACGGAAAACGTTCGTTCGGAAACGTCGGAGGCGACCTGTCGCGTTCAGATCCCGACAGTACACGGCTCCTAAAATCTCGAAGCAACCGATTACTATTGGTAAGAGGTGCACTCTGCTCGGCGGTTCCACACGCGTAAAGTCACACACTTGGTTCCTCCACTTCCGGTAGACGGACGAGCAAACCGCGCGGGTCCTCTTTGGCGAACACTTTTTCCCGCTCGAACGAAATGATTGGAAAATAATCTCGGCGGATATCGTGTCATCGTCGCGGTTCACGAATCACGATCACGTATAATGATCGTGGGTCTCGTCCTCGGTCGCGTGTATCGCGTTTATTTGTCGGGTACGTACCGGCGATCAGAATGGCGGCAATCACGTAGTACGTCCTCATGGTTCTACGAGTCTCCCGCGTGGTATACTGTGGCGGACGTGTTCGTTACTTCGCTACCGATGATCGTTGGCGGTGTTTGCGTATTAGCGACGGGAGTAACCGGTGGTTAAACAACGGGAACAAAAAAAAAACAACTGGTCGATCACTTTTGCGGGCACAGGCTCCAATGCGCAGAGAGAACTCTGTGTTTGCGGGCTGTCGTTCTCCAGCTTTATATAAGTCATTGGTCACGTGCTGTTCCTCTTCCACCTCCTCCTCGGAGCCTCTCCTCCTCTCTTCTCCTCCTCGTCAACTTCAAGAAGTGGTACCTATGTACACCTCTACGCTGCCTCTCCCCCTTTCTCCCTCTCTCTATCGCTCTCTCTTTCTCGCTCTCTTTTTACACCTTCTCTTTCCCTCTGTCCCATTTCGTCCCGTTCTCCCTTTCTTTTTCTTTATTCTTCTCCTGAAAATGCCATCCAAAGACCTAACAGAGGCCCGGCAATAACGCGGCCCTCTCGTTCCTCCTAGCTCTCACTCCGTTGTTCTCTCTCTTTCTACCTTGCAGAGAACACTCTCGTCCCTCTCTTTTTCTCTAGAACAGTCTCGTCTCTCTCTTTCTCCCTCGAACACTCGTGTCTCTCTCTAGAACACTATCGTCTCTCTCTCTCTCTCCCCCTCTCTCTCTCTTTCGAAAATACTCTCGTCTCTCTATTTAGAAAATTCTCGCCTCTCTCTCTCTTTTCCTCTCCCTCTCTCTAGAACACTCTCATCTCTTTATTTAAAAAATTCTCATCTGTCTCTCTAGAACACTTTCGTCTCTCTCTCTTTTTCTCTCTAGACACTTTCGTCTCTCTCCCTCTCTTTAAAACACTATCGCCCGCTGCCGGTGGCTTTTTAGCCGGTTCACCGGGCCCCTGTTTCAAAATTATTTTTTATTCATCGCGATATAGACTGGGCGACCATCCCTTTCTTTTCGGCCGTTTTGCTTCTGTTGCTTTCGTCCCGGGCTTTTTTCGGATCCGCAACATTGCTCTCCCGGACCAGTTTGTAGGCTGGTTTTCACACGATCCATCGAAAAATCCGATTCCTGGGATTCTCGGAGCCGAGAACCGTGGATCCTTTGTTCCTGCGTCGGTTCGCCAAGCTTGGACAATCGCATCTTCGATGGTGAACACTTGCGTGCTCGACGACGTGGTAAATACATTGTTACGAATTCCTTGGAAAAATTGTATCGCGGCCTTCGCGTTCAATTAATTTTCGTTTGAGAGCTGATGCATGGATTCGTTTTGATGTACGGAAGATCTTGTAGTTGAGAACACGATTAGCTGCGGAGTTGTGCAGAATTACAATTTAATTAGTCAAAGAATTATAATTATAAAGTAATTAAATTTCATCGTATTTCAAATATATCGTATACCAATTACAATCTATTTTAATTACATTCTATTAAAATTGCATTCTATCTCAATTATACTCGCGATTAAAATAATTACCAAATGAATTAACTGACAGTTTTGAATTCTGCAATCGAACTTGAAATACAATGTAATTAAATTGCGTAATTGAATTATAATGTAATTGAATCAGCGAAGCTTTGATTAACAGACGATGCTGCATTTTATAGGGACATATATTATACAATTTCTGCTGATTCGATCTCGCTTGAGATTTTTATATTAACAGCAGGCATGATTGGGTTAACAACGAACGAATTATTTGCATTGCAAAGTTGTCGGATTGATTTTCGGTTTTAACGAATTACAACGGGTGTGGTCGGTCCGCGATCCCCTCGTCTCGATGTCGTAAATGCAATTAACATCCTTTCGTTTTCAAAAAATCCTATGACATAAGAGCTGTCCGCCGGAAAAAAACCTCATTATGCTGAATTAAGAGAAGCTCGGCTATACCTGCATAATCGCACAAGAGAGTCGTATCGATTTCCATAATCGCGGCACAAAAATATACCACGAGTGACAGTTTGTTCGTTTTGCGGTCAATTTTTTGCTTACTTGCAAGATGAATTTAGGTTCCGTTTTCTTATACGTTCTTCGTTGCTTGTAATTATGCAGAGGGGTGGCGCTCTTCTCGTTTAGAGCCAGGTCATTTTTTCAGTACCAGAAACATTGTCACGGGATAATTTCAAATGCGCGTAGTTTTCACTGTAGCTCCATATCTGCAATCTTAGTTAATAATTTTGATGGCAATTACATACATTCTAAAATTTTAATATTTCGTTTATACCAACTCAATCTTTTTTTTCACGCTGATTACATTATTTCTAGTTTCTAATCTAGTTTCATGCGCAGGCAGTATTTACTGTAATCTTTATGGCAGTTAAATACAATCTAAACTTGAAATATCTAATTTATAGCGAGTTGAGTTCGTACTCTCGTCAATTAGATTATTTGTGATTTTAAACAGCATCGTGTCAGAAATCGTGTTTTATTTTTCACGACCGCGATCCTAATACGAGCCGATTTGTCCTGCGGCGGATCCGGTACGTCGAAATTCGTCGAATCTGCACAGGTGCGATCGATTGCGCACTCAGGTGGTGTGCCGGCACGGTCGCACGATTTGCAGAATATTGACCGGCCGGTACGTGATGAAAATAATAACCGATTGACCGGCGATCGGCGATCGGCGACCGGCTGCGCGGTACACCATATAAAATAACGGGGAACGCTGGAGGAGACGAAGGTCGAGCATGATCGACGTGACTCACCGCGACACCCAGCTCGGATATACCACCCTGTTCAGCATTCCGATAGAGGTTATCTGGCGAACTGCTACTCGCTAGGGCCGTTACTTCGGTTTCGGTCGCAATCAGCCAGAAATAGATCGGCGAGCTGGATCCGCAGCGATCTATAGGTGATTCAGACACACGGGAGACGGGAAAAGCTACTTTGTCCTCTGGCATTCCTGTTCTGAAGTCGTCGAACATTTACACACGTCGGCGAGCTGCTAAATGCTAGGCTGTTTCTGTCGATGTTTTTGCTGTCTTTTGATCCTGTTTAATACTTTGAATTTAATTAACTCCTAGTAGTCGAGCAGTGACTCTGAGGCACCACTAAACATTGTCACATCACGTTTCAAAATAACTTAAATGTTACCAAATTTGTTTATATACTGTTCAAGAAAATTGTAGCACAGACAAATTTTGGATAAAAATTTGTCAACTTTGATCAACGATAACTCCGCGAAAAATCATCGTGGAATGGTGACTTTTTCTTTTAAATTGAAGCTCGAAACCTCCACTTTGAGATAGTGTTTTTGGATTTTGACGTTTGATGCACCTTCACCAGTACAACCCTACAGATGGGAGGTCATGTGTCACATTCAAAAAATGCAAGGATTACTTTAAAGTGCTGTAATTTTGCGAAAAAATCGCAGAATCGAACTTCATTCGACTGCAAATGGCATCTTCGAACAAAATTTGACAAAGTCCGTGCATTCCGTCAAATTTGGCCAGTTTCAATATGATGAACATGACCTCAGGGTTAAAAAGATACAGTGGTGATGGTGCGCCGAATTTGAAATGGAGGAACACTGCCCCAAAGTAGAGGTTACTTAAAAATTCATGTAATTATTTAAAAATTCCTGTAATCCTCTATAAACTCATCAAGTTTCCAACGTTTCGACGTAAATTTACTTGCGCATACTAATTTGGAAGTATGCGATACTTATCCGAAACAATAACTGGCAGTGATTGGCAATTCGGTTAAGGGTTAAACACGAATTTCGATGCTCGGTAATTTCACGGGCCCGGTCCGATCGGACCACGAACGATTGGCATTTATTTCCTTACATCATCCGTTCGCGTTTCTGGCACTTGCCGCACTTCTTGTACAAGAAAGTTCCTGGGATTTTGCAATTGTTTCGTCACTTTTCTCTTACATCTTGCGGTGAAGCCCGGTCCCATCGAGGTGCCAGCCGCAGCAACAAATCGATCGAAAAGAGAAAACAAAGAGCCCGCCGGGGGCTGTCTCTTCACGATCATTGATTCGGCAATTTGTATCGATTACAATCTTACCAAATTAAATTCCCTGTAATTCGCTTTTCGATGGAATTATTTTGGAAATTCTTAGGCTCGGATAAAAAATCGACGAAACACTATCTTTTAATTTTTCTATCGTCCCAAGCAATTGCAATTTCTGCGAACAATTCTTTCACCGTTGTTCAGTAATCTAATCGTTTTAAGATCGCAACAAAATTTAGATCGCTTTCGATTCGATCGGAAATTTAAATTCGACTATAAAAGATTAAGACCAATTGTAAAAAGATTATTCCGTTTCAAAACATGTACGAATACTTCTGACATCGATTGTACTTAGCAAGATTGAATGAAATTGTTCTACCACGATTGCAAAAGTCAAATGCGTCATCTCGAAGACGCTGACAGTGATTTCTTGGTCGCCGCGTTTAGAAGCTCGAAAATCCGGGTAAAAGTGGAAAGTACAAGCCGGCGGGCAGGTGTTTAAAATTTCACGAATACTCGGAACGGGAGACAGGAAAAGGTATGAAACTCGGGCTCGAATGAGCGGCGGATAAATACGTATTCTAATTCAGCGTACTTCCGAGGAGACGATTTCAATCATGGCGGACAGGCGCATGCTAATGCCAGACGCTTTCGACGACAACGGAACTTTCTCGCTCCGTTTAATCCAGTTTCACGAATAAATCGCTCGCGTTCACGCACGCGCGTTCGCCATTCCAGCTCTGTCTAACGTTCTGCGAAAAACTGGTGTATCGCAGATTGATCGACCTTGGCGATGCGATTCGATCAACGAACGATCAACGAGGAAATGACGAAGTCTCGCTATTTCATAATTGGTGCAGTAACTGCGTTTTGGCGCGTGTTTCAGAATCAACTGTCCACATTTTTCTACAGTACTAAACATTTCATTTCTATTGGCCTTTCTATGTTATTAATTGGATTAGAATTTTTTCTTAATTTATATTTTAATATCAATTTTGATACTAGAATTACTAGAAAATAATGACTAAATATTTATATATATTTTGATTGTAGGTGTTTGCGAAAGTGTTACTGGAATTATTTTGACAATCAGGCTGGTATATGATTTAGGAGATCAAAGTTTAAGAATTTTTAATTTAAGATGACATAGTTAAAAAGTTAAGGGAAAATATATTTCTTATTAATATTAATGAATCACCAAAATAAATAAATAAATAAATAAATAAATAAATATATATACATATATTATTTAAGTCCAATGCAATAATTACTATCTTTAGAAACGACATAATCAAGGCCGCAGAGGATCAGCCAGTACTATGAAAGCGGATAGAAATCAAAACCATATAATGCGCTTATGAACTTGTTAATTAATTCGCGTTCCGCCGTGCCGTGCCGACCAGTTTCATGTTCGCAGGCGGTAGCTACCAGGTGTAACAACATTTTTACCGCTGGTTTTCCTCGCTCTTTTTTGCCGACTCGCGACTGTTTCCGGTAAAAGTTTCTGCCTTTGTTCCTCTGTAAACTGCATTTAATAGTACAATGTGCATTTGAGGTCGTTTACAAAAGAACTCTTATTTTTAATCTATTCTTCGTCTGTAGATCAGGCCGAAATCCAATCCATTTCAAGCACCATAATTTATCGCGCATCATTATCAGTGAACAGAGAACTTGACAAAATGGTGGTCCAAGAAAATACGATTATACAAAAATTATGTAAGCATGTAAGTATGTAATCATGTAATTATGTAAGTAAATTATGATGAAATTGTTCTACATTTCTAACATTTACGATCTCTTACGTTACACGAAAATGGTCGAATCAATTTCATGCACTTTGGCAGGTAAAGTCACGGTTGTCTAATCAATTTTATACACGTTGATATGTAAAGTCACAGTAGCCTAATTAATTCTGTATAGATTGATCTGTAAAGTCAGAGTAGTCTAATAAATTGTATACACTTCTATACGTAAAGTCATTTTGTCATTGTATGTAAATTCATCCTGTTATAGTGCATAATAATTAGGAGGCCCATACCAGATTATTATAATATCGTCCAAAGAAGGTACTCAGCATTCAATGAAACATTTTAATGAAGACAAGCAGCGAAAAAGTGTTACTAATGAGCATGTTAACGCGACGAGGTTCGCTCAATCCTCGGTGTCAGCCGGCTATGAAACTCGATGATGAAAGAGGATGCATTGCACCGGATGGCTAATGCACAAACACCTTCCGGATAACGGTAAGTCTGCGTTGGCGTTACGTGTCAAGGATGCGACCGCACCTCTCGTTGATTAATATTCGGCTGTGTCGGTCTCCTTAAGACGACCGATTCGAGCAGGACACCGGTCGTCCTCCTGTTGCAACCTCTTCTCTCACCTTGCTCCCGAATCCCTGCATATCGATGCTCGTTGCATATTCACAAGCTGCTTGTTCCCATAGACGATAATGCTCCTTTGTTCGGAGCCAATTTAATCGAGAGAGAAAAATTGGAGCACGAGGATAACAACACCAAGAGAGAAAAATTAGATCTTGATGCCTATTATATCAAGAGAGAAAACTTGGACATCGAAGCTATTCTTACCAATAATGAAAAATTGGACATCGAAACTAGTTTTACCAATAATCAAAACTTGGACCTCGAAACCAATTATATCAATAGAGACAAATTGAACCTCGAAGTCATTTTTATGAATAGAGAATTGAATAGAAAATTAGACTTCAAAACCAATTATATCAATAAAGAAAAAATAGACCTCGAAGTCAATTATATCACGAAAGAAAAATTGGACCTCGAAACCGTTTTCATGAACAGAGAAAAGTTGATCCTCGAGGCCATTTTCATCAAGAGAAAAAAAATTGGACCTTGAAGCCAGGCATATAAATCTTAAGAACCCCTTTCGAGGATCATTAATAATCTTATCAGTGAACAGAGGGGTCATCGTGATATTTTTAATGTCATTTTAGTGTCGTGCTTATCGAATTCTTTCCATGAAGAATATTTTAAGGATCCGCCAGGTAGGGTGTATATTCGATCAATTTTTCTCTTGTCTGCGCCTTGCGAAATCTTCAGTCTGCCAGTTTATTATTATTGGATCGAAGAGAGGCTTTAAGCGCAGTCAGAGGATTTTGTTGAAAAATTCTTTCAGAAGGAAAAGAATACTTTAAATGATGAATCTAAATGTGGCACTCTGTATGCATAGAATGTCCTGTTGTGTGATATGTTGATGTTTTATTTTTGCAAAATTGATAAAAAATTTGTCTGCATTTTTATATTATTATATGAAGATATTATTATAAAGCTGCTATTAAAAAAGTTGAGAGCAACAGCATATTGGAAGCGATCAAGATATATGCTAGATCACAAATGAGAACCAATTTCGTAGACAACTTCTCTATTATTGAAATAATTAATTCACTTTAATCGAAATAAGAGAAAGAAGTCTTGTGCTGGTTAGAAAATCATTTCTGGTTGATAATAAAATATTAATTCTTATCAAAGTGCACGATCTTGAGCATTTTTGAATTTTGTTCAAAATTTCTTCCGGAAAAAGACTGAATGAAAATCCTACCAATACCAGTTAAAAATTTGCAAAAAGATATCACGATTCGCAGCGAACAGATACTCGGCTTAACGCACAGCCACTCATGCGAGTCTCCAAGGATAGCCGGAGACACGAATGCCAGATCAGGCGATGAACGGGTTGAAAATAGCCGGCGTTATAGTTTCTATGACCGATCGAAGTTTTTCCCATGGTTTTCTCGGTTGCCATGGATTACCGACGCGTGGGCAGGGAGAAATTGCAAAGACATTCCTCCGCGAGATTATAAATCCTGTGGCCATGATCGATGAGTCGATACATTTTTGGCGAACAAAGGTTACCAGGGGTCACTACTCTGTTTTTTCGAGTTCCCGTTACGCAGACAGGTCTTTTGTATGCAAGCGATATGAATTCGCGTCACCGGAACCGACGTCGATGTATCAAACTCAATTCAGAGAATTATGCACGGTGCACAGTATAATCATATTCGTAATCGACGTAACCGCGCGGGCCTGTGCACAGTGCCTGATTTACGGCCAGTGACACGCAGCCGCGATGCCTATAGATCATCCTTCTAAACGCTTTCGAGACTTGCGAAAGATTTTGCGTGTGATTTAGCGTTCCCGTTGCGTCCTTTATCCTGGAAGATCTCGTTATCCGGGCAGGAGTTTAGCGGGTTCAATGCACGTGCAGCAGTGCACTCGTCGTTCTTAGCCGGCCTGCGAATTGTCTCGCAGACGTGCTCGAACGCAGGTTCGTTACCGCAAACTTTTGAATTAATTGGATACGAATTGTGCTCGATGCAGTTGCGCATTTCGTAACTCTTTGTGATTCGCTATAACTTTGAAGTCACGTGCAATGTCTTTCAATCGCGTTCCATTTTTAGCCGTAATGTTAGATCTTGATCTCAATGCAATCTTTTAATTTTATTTCACACTAAATTCACAATATTTTGCAATATTGTAAATTCGTTGTTAATTTATATTTAAAGGTAGCGTTTCTACAGTCACTGGTTTCAAGTTCAATTATTTTGAACAAATCCGTTTCAATAATATTTCAATATTCGTTTATATTTCAATATTTCAATATTTCAATATTCGTTAATACTTCAATATTTTCGATACGCGGGTGATTTCAACGTTTGAAAAGCTCGGTGCATCGCATGCACGTGTAACACGTGCGACGACGCGCATCCGTTTGCAATCGGCACGCGACGTTACGGCTCGGTAGCCGGCGTCATCGTCGTCGTCATAGCGGTGGGTCCAAGTTCGTCGCGAACGATTCTTCGTCAATTGTTTTACATAGTCATTCTCCAATCTACTCTCTCTCTCTCTCTGCAACCAAAAAAATTACCACAGATTATACAGAATACGTACTTTATGACAAAATATTTCTTTGAGAAGAAAGTCTATTGACTTGGCCGTAAAAAATTCCGAAAAATCACATTCTTCATTAATTTTGTATTCAGCCATTCCCCAATTTTTTGCAACTAGAAAATTATCATCGGTTGTACAAATTACGTACTTTATGGCGAAATATTTGTTCGAGAAAAAAGTCTATTGATTTGGTCAGAAAAAATTCCTAAAAATCACATCCTTTTTATGGAATATTTTTATATTTTTACGTCAACATGACCCCTGATTTTTAAGGCTCTCTTAATTGCAGAAATATAGTTTCATTTGAAAACCACTCTGGCTACAGTCTGCTCTCCTCGCAGTTGCTTTGCAAATCCGTAGTATCCAAGTCAGAGGAAAGCTAGCTGCAATTAGCCTTCAATAGAGACTAGTATTACTCCATATCTCGTGTTCATCTATCTGAAGCACCACACTGAATCGTGCACTGATGTGTGCTGAATTGGAGTGAATTTCTTGATTTAATGAGCTTTATTATAGAGGGTGTACCTTAAATAATATGTTGGAAAAGATCGTTAAATTTGCTAATTTTCTGATTCGCTGATTCGCCGACTCTCTATCAGTCTAAATATGGTATGTTTTTGTGAAAATGTTGTACAAATGGGTTTTTACCCGCATGTATAAACGAATTAAATGAAATTAAATAAAATTACGGAAGATTCCCTAAGCATAACCGGTGATAAAAATGTTATGAACAGCTTTCACAGATTTCTGATGGAAAATTCGATATCAGCAATCGGTCAAGCCGACGTATTGAACTTGGGCCCACTGTTGGCCAGGCCAGGGGCCCGGCAGTTTCTCGCGGACGCGGCAAGTCGAGGTAACGACCGTCGAAATTGCATAATTCAGTGGCGCTGCAGGAACGTGCTGGCGCGAGTCGGTTTCTCGCCGAGAGGAACGCGGAGAGGATTCGCGGAGGATGGAGAACGGAACGGGGTGGACAAGACAGAAGACACGGCTTTTGCCAGCGACCCGGCATATCCTTTTATCTTTATCTGGCACGGCGCATCGTTCGCCCTGGTCGCAGGAGTGAAAGTCGAGTGCGCTAGGCGATCGGCGCGGCGTCGCGTCGTCGTTGTTCAGCATCCAAAAGCTGCACCTCTCCGGCCGCTTGTTCTTATTACACGGTATTCGTGATCTCATCGATTATCAACGCTCTCGTCGACGTTCCGCACTCTGCAAGCCGAGGATCCAGAGACGCGAGAGCGTGCGAGGATCTCTGGCAGCCGCGGGATCCACCAATTTTTCTCTTATTAAGTTAACAGCCCTCGCGGTTGCGTCGCTTTTAGGAATGCGACTTGTTTCGCTCGCGAACCTCGTTTCACTGGAAAACCTGTGAATTCTCAATGTTATAATTAATATTATAATTGCTCTATAATTATTCTTATTTATTGAGTAGAAATTGAACGAAGTAGAGGAAGAAATATACTTCCCAATAAAGATACAGCGTAGACAAATTTTGGGTAAACATTGGCCAACTTTGACTGACGATAACCCCACGAAAAATCTTCGTAGGATGATGATCTTTTTTTAAAATTAAAGCTTGGAACATCTACTTTGAGATACTTTTTTTTTATTGTAAGTTTGACACACCCTCCTCACTGTAACCCTTTAAATGCGAGGCCATATGTTCGTCATATTGAAACTTGCCAGGTTTGATGAAATGCACGGACTTTGGAAAATTTTATTCGGAGGTGCCGTTTGCAGTAGAATGAAGTTCGATCTTTTCTCTTTAATTTAAGCAAAAAGAAATGAGTCTGCGATTTTTTTTCGCAAAGTTACAGCACTTTAAAGTAATACTTGCAATTTTCAATGTGGCAAACATGGTCTCACATTTAAAGGATTACAGCAGTGAGGGTGCATCAAACTTAAAATCCAGAAATAGGGTCTACAACTAGAGATTTCATGCTTCAATTTGAAAATAAGGGCGTCATCCTATCGTAATTTTTCGCCGAGCTATCGTCAGCCGAATTTGGTCAATTTGTATAATTTCAAACAGTTTGAAGACTAAAAGCATTTTAAAACGTCAATGTATTATTTTTAATCTAATAAAATTATGAAAGGAATAATTAACGTATTACATGGCTTCTATTCCTTATAATAGATGCAGACAATTGTTATTTTGCATAAAAATTTCACTGTGTTCAGGCTGCTGATCAGATAATTGTCGTTGAAATTTTTCACGATGTTCCTAGCGTATTTAACTTAGCTCTGTCAATGGCAACGAGATTTTTAGTATCGGCGTTTGCATCGAAAACGTTTGCGAACCGGAAACGAAGCAATCGCAGCAACTAGGTCGGCTGAGTGCGAACTATGCGACGAACAACCATAACAGAGCGACAAATCGAAGGTTGGCTGGAGCGAGAAATGAAAAGAATAAAAGTATTCGAATATTCCTTGAAATTCCAAGCGCTATAGTTGTTCAGGGTTGATATATTTCATTAGCTATGCATTCCGGTCAGCCTGTAGAATGTATTCTCATACACCTAGCGATGTTCAACTGCGATTAGTCTTCGAGAATATGAATGAATGATTTTTGTATTTAGAAAGTATCTTTGCGGCTTGGAAAGATGAGTCTGCGTTTAAAGCTATGCGATTTTAGTGTCGATTTTGTATCGAACGAGCAGCTGTATAGCTGAATCAAGGTTCCGAACCCGGATCTTTCAGTCGACTGGCTCGATCAATTAGGCTACTCAGGTAATCGACGAATTCTTCTCGATTGCCAAAGTATCGTGCACTGTATGCGGTCGTCGTCGACCGTTCGGAATACGATTATCGGAGAACGCGACGTTTTTATTCAAATTAACTCGGTAAGAAACGAAAAGCACGGCTAACGCGAGACCTTTAGGCTAGCGCGCCCTAAGAATGACAAGAGCGACCTTTGTTCGATCGCCTGGCAGAAACCATTGCCATGAGCTGGAAAACCTAACCGTGGCAATTTGCATATCGCTGTTCTAATTCAATACTGAGACATTTAAAAAAAGATGTGATCTAGAGATATTCTATTATTTCATACCAAACAGTGCAAAATACAGATATATCTTTACATGTGTAAGGCAAAAGTATTGATCACCATATCTCACTGTTCCACTTCTACGTTCTTTATATGTATCTGGA